CCTCATTTCATCTGTCAGTGCTTCCTGAATTCCATCCACTCTGCTGTTTCTGGCAATTTTCAGATGTACTGAAGTTTTACGCACTGCTTTATTTTATCTACTTCTGTTCTTGGCTTTCAGTTTCTTTTCCCTCTACATCTGTTGTGAAGATTTTTGGGGTGTTTTTTAATAAGAAGCCTGTTGCATTGGAGCTGCAACTTAGATGAGTCTTTTTCTTAACAACAGGTAACTAAAATATTATGGAAAAGAGCTTATGAGAGAAGGTAGGACAGCTACATATATCTCTACTAACTGCTAACAGAGAATTAACTCAAACTGGCTAAACAAATTCTTTATTTGCAGTCAATTGCCTATTGGCCTACAGTTGTTTTTTGTAATTTTGTGCAGTGTTTACCTTTCTGACACTTCTTTCTGCACTGGAACATTTTCCAGTACCTTGCATAAGAAATCCAAAAAGAACATTCTGTTATTTTTCACTGTTTCTCTTGCTGGAGAAATACAGAGGATCTCTCATGGGTCAATTTCCAGACATCTGTTTATATAAAATGAAGTGCACAATATAGTTTATTTCTAAACAAAACAAGGTACTGGTCTTGTTTCAGATAAACATGTACATCGCAATTTTACAGTGACCATATTGTTTTAAGGTCATGACTTCTATATGTTTACAGATCAAGACTTCCATACCCATTCTCTATTTGTCTCAAATTTGGAACTAGATGTTTCTCTACTTAGGAAGCTGCTTTATTTTCAGTTTTCAAATAGCTGATCTTGTTTATTTAACTGCAAACAGGAGCTGACAACTCCAGGAGGCTTTTGTTGTTGTCTTGATTGCTCCTTCTGGCTTTTCAGGACTCCAGGAAGTTCACAATGCAGATATACTAACAGTCTCTATAGCACACACACCCTCTGATGGCACAAACAGGCAGCAGAATACCATGAAGAAACTTCCAAGTAAATGTTCTTTTTCAGGGTAAGTTTATAGTTTCACTCCTTAGAACTGTCCTTTGGTCTTTACTCAGGACTTACTCTCTCCCTGACTGAGATTCACAAGCAGACTCCCGGTGATACTAGCTTGATGTGTTGTGCATGTCAATACATTGTGTATGTCAAGTATGACACTGGTCATAATGGTTCTATCTGCTCTGACACGGAACATGCAATACTCTGAAGAAATTTCCACAATCTGGATGCCTTATACCAGAATCATGAAGGAGCTGAGCCTGAAAATTACTTTTACATTTATTCAAACGGGGAATTTTTCTTGCATCATAAGTTCATTCTTCTTCCTCTTGAACTGCTTGACAGCAAAGCCTTCTGCTGTCTTCCAGATCTTTCATAATACAATATGGTCTTTTACAACTTACAAATATCTTTTAAATTATCTTTGGCAAAACAGCCCAATGTAAAACAAATCATACTTCATTTGCTAGCATAGCTCAAGGACAAGCTGAAATGACTGATACAAAAATCAAAAACATTAACTGTTAAAGAGCCATTTCTGAAACGTGAAGGGCAAATTTCTCCATCAATGACTCCCAGTAGAAGATTCTGATTCTAGTTCACAGGAGAGTACTGAAAAAATACCTCTGGAGACAATATTGTCTCCAATGTTAGAACAGGATCCAAAAAAAACCTCAAAAATTTAAGTAGGCGACAGATTACATTGACACATTTTATGTTCTATTAATTATGGATTGCAAATATAAGTCAAAACTTGGTTTTCCTTTTATCATGGCACAAAAATGCAAAAAAAAAAAAAAAAAAAAAAAAAGGGATTTCTGGACTGCAAAGTAGCTAAATATAAAATGTATGTTTGTTGGTGTTGTGTAATACTGCTGGACTAACTCCAGCCACTAAACTCTTCAGCTGTCCCTCAACAGGTGTAAAGGGGTTTCACTAACTTTGTACTTCTGCAAAAACATGCTAGAAGTATTTGGAGAGACTGAAAACCTTGACTATTACAGCTCCGCTACTCTTAAGGACTGAGAGTCATGATCCCAACTTAACTCGTAATTGCAAACTATCCTTACAAAATTATGTTCAAATTTACCATTATCAACATCTTTGCCAGTCTGTGGAACTATAATCTTCCAATGCTATAAGCACATCTGTAACTTTTAGCATAAGCACTGAATGACAAGTCCCATGTCTGAATATTAAAAACCTCAAATTTCATCAACATCTCCCACCACCAGACTAACCAATTATAGATTTCATCCACTTTCTCTCTTCTTACTAAAATAAGTATTTTAAAAGAAATAACTAGACACAATTTAAATGTGAAACAAAAACACTGAGGTTGAATTTGTTCTTTCATCAACAAATCCCACCAGATGATTAGCATTTATGCAGTATTGGATTTAAAAAAAAAAAACACCAATTAACTGCTATACAAGATTTAACTTAAAAGCCTAACACTGATCAAAATTAAAATTTTTAAAAATCATTTTACCTTTGGTAGTACTGCTTTCCAAAGTAACATCAATGGCGTTTGTTAGCAGTTGCTCCTGCAAGGAAAGGTTTCCCATGTGCCTCAGTATTACAGGTGCTTTATGAGAAGCAATCAGGTGTAACAGCCTGTGTCTAATATTACAGATTTTATTCACCTGAGCCCCCTAGTTACATGGAGTCTTTCCATGAGTCTACTCGTGCAAATTCAAGTTATTCATAGTGAACACCTGCTTTTGTACTTCAAGCCCAGAAAACACTAGCAATGAATATAGTCCATGTACGTTTTAGGAGCTCCAAATATTTTGGTAGGGGAACTTTTTTTATCATTTTTCCTGGCAAGATGAAACTACACTCACATAATCTGTTCAAATTTAAACGACGTATGGCAGAATGTTACTTTTAAAATGCAAATGACAAAAAACACGTATCACCCATGCGAGTGGGCCATAGAGCAAGTAGAGCAAGCCCGCCCAGCGTGACAACACATGGAGCTGTGTGCAATTAAAAAAAAAAAAACAAAAACAAAAACAAAACAAAACCCAAACAAACAAAAACAAGCAAAAAAAAAAAAAAAAAAAAAAAAAAAACACCACCGAACAATAACAAAACCCCCAACAACAAAATGAAAGAGGAGACAGTTGGCGCGCGGGCCCGCTCCCCTCAGGGCAGCCAGGGCCGGAGCAGGCCGCGCTCCAGGCGGTTGGGGCGAAAAGGCGGGGCTCGAGCGGGTCCCCCCCGCGCGGGCGGCGCCACCGCCACCTGCGATGTCATTGTCACAGCAGGGGCGGGCAGCACGCCCCGCTGCGTCACTGCGGCCGAGGGGGGCGCTGGGCTGGCCCCTCCCCGCGCAGGCCCGCCATGGTGCGGCCGGAGCAGCCCCCAGCGGCGGGGGGAGGCAGCGCGGCCCGGGCGGCAGTGCAGGGCTGTCCCGCCTCCCGCGGGGGCCGAGCCGGCGCGGCCGTGACACATGGCTCTGCGGGTACGGGTGTCGCCGCGGCCGCTTCACGTCTTCCAGAGCGGCACCCCCCCCTGGCTGGCGCCGGGGCTGCTTCCTCACAGCCCTTCCAGACAGCGGCTCTGCTGCAGATGCGCCCGTCTGGCTCAGGCAAGCCAGAGCGGGAGAAATACGCGATTATGTCCTTCCCAAGGCTTAACAGCAAGGCTGAATCCTCTCAGTTTTCCCTTGTTAGATCTGGAACTGGTCCTTCTGTGAACTTCAAGCTCTGCTAATCGTAGAAGTGTCATTTTTATTTGCAGATAATCACACAGTAGGAGCAGAAGTCCCAACTGACCCACAAGCAACGTCGGAAGTAAGCTGATTTGATTCAGACTGCAGACGGGAGCAGGATGACCGGGCACAGAGAGTCTTATCTAGCAGAATTTCCGTATGGTGTATTTAAGTATATGGAAATGCCTAGTGCCACAACACCGCTGGCTGACAAGCTGGCCTGCACCGGACTTCAGCCGAGCAGCGAGAGCAGCTCAGGCTAACTGCTGGTCACAGCTGCCTTATTTCAGGAGCTGCTCGGGTGAAGTGTTAGTTCTCGGTATTCACAGGCTTCTCTAATTTAAAGCTAGTCTCTTTTACATTGTTCAGCAAAAGCGAAGTGGTTAATATGAATATAATAGTGATTGTTTCAATATACTTCTAACTGTATGCAGGGCTAGGACTGTACAATAGGAGTTGTCCCTCTTAGCTGATGTTTTTCAGCAATAATCAGACTTGCTGAAGTATGCTGCAATTGATGGCATTACTTTGCAAACTACAATCTCCTTCTGAATAATGACGAGCAGAGTGTATTTATGTTTTGGTTTTAGTATCAGTATAGTTGCGTAACTCGGGTATATGATGCACAGTACTTCTCTGCCTGCCTCTTTTCTTCCTCTTTTATATTTTGGGGGATTTTCTTCCTAAACAGAACAAATGGAAAGCTCGACAAATTTTGCTCTATGCATATGCTCATTCCTTTATCTGAAATTTTCATTGAGCTTCTGAATTCCCGTGACCTAAGAATGATTCATTCAGAGAAAAATCCTTTGATCTACATAAAGAATTTGCATTATTTATTTTAAAGCACTTCTAAGTCATTACACCTTAGCCATTATGACTTCTGTTAATGCAGAATACTAGTGTTTCCCTTTTCTAATCCCAGAGACAGTCTAAATTTCTTATGTTGTCCAACCAGTACACCACAGTCTAAACCAGAAAGATGATTTTGGAATTGGAGTATGAATTCTAGCAGAAGCACATTTGGTCTTACTGCAAAGACTAAGATCCAAAGTAATACCAGATGTGACAGTGCTTTCTGTAATAGGAGCAACTGTCTGTGAAGAACGATGCTGAATATACTACAAATAAGTGTCTAAATGGCTATTGAATAATGAAGGAAGCATTTGATGAACACCTGTTGGCTCCAGCTTGGTGAAAACAATCTTGCAACTGGAAAAGAAACATAATTTCAACTGAAAAAATATCCTAACTCATCTCAATATTTAAAACAAGAAAACCCAAACCAACAAACAAACAAAAACAACAAAACCCCCTCTTTATCAATTTTCTGATATTTATTTTATACATTTTAGATTCTTCAGCAACAGCTGGAATCATTTCAGACATTTCGGCAAGAGACATTGCAGAATATTACCACGGTAAAAGTAGAACACAAATGCTCTTAAAATACAACAGCCTCCTGCTGCATTTTTAGATACTGCCATAGGTGTTTTAAGTAAGATATATTCTTAGACTATTGTGTACATTAAGTATACATTTAAATATCTGTCCATCTTAAAAAAGATAATCTCACTTCTAGGTTCTTGCTCACCCAGTCACAGTATTATTTGGAGCCTTCTAAAACCTATTTTAAAACCTCAGAAAAACAAAGGAAAACCAAAACTGAGTTAGGAAATAAAAAAGGGAAGGACTAGATCCTTCTCTCACTTACATCACTGGAAACTCAAGGAAGCTCTGTTGTTTTTAAAGAAGTTAATTCCATATTACATCACTGTCAGCAGAACCTGTTGCAAACTGTCATGTTTCACAAAATGCCAAGCCACCTTTTCAGGAGCATTTTTTCTGGCATCATTTTATCTGGTTCTTTATATAAAACATAAATGGCTTATGCTGGAAGGACATTTAATTTTACACTTTGTTGGTTATAAACAATTCGGAATTTCTACATGCCACTCCTATCTGGTCTGTCCTTCCTAAGAGAGAACTTGAGTAATAGGATATGTTTGGAAAATTAAATATTTCTACATTTAAGATTTTTGTAAACAATCTCAATATTTTTCAGGCACAGTCTAAAATCCATGAGATACTAAATAAAAATATATTTGCAAGGAAAACTCCACCTTGTAATTCAGACGAGATTCTGATGACTTGCACGCCAAGTGATGCTTCTCTGGTATGTTTAACAATTTTTACCTACAAAAACAAGTTGTTCTTTAGCTGGGCCTTGGGTTTTGAGAGTGATGTGTTTTTTTGGAAAATAACCCAAGAGTTATTCTGGATTTTAAAAAGAAAAAAAAAAAAAAAAGCAGTATCATCTTCCTGAGGTTTTTCTGGGTAGCAAAACTTTAGCCATAATTACATATATTATTCCCTCCCACCCATTATGATTAAAACTCAGTTTCTCTTCTGCACAGGTAAAACTGTAACCTGATCTTCCCAAAATTAATTTGGATTCTCTTCAGTGTGCAATGCAAAGCATATAGGGAGACAGGGCAGAGAGTCGAGGATGTCAGAGAGACATGAAGTCAGGGAATAAATTTTGTCCCTCTCCTATGAAATGCTGCATAAATGCTACTTTTTCTGTCTATATTTAGCGTGAACTCCAGTTTGCCCTTATTTCATAGGGACTGTGATGATAAAAACAATCAAAGAGAAACCACAGTCTCCTTAAATCATCCCTCCTTTGCTGGAAATAAAATCAATTTAAGACACTTGGTATTTTGTGCCCACTCCAAAGCCCAGTATTGAACAAAATGGGGCCTACGATAATTGTTTACATTCTTTTAATGGGTAAATGGAATTGTCAGAGGTAAACTGTACAAGTCTTGATTGATAAATGGCTTTGGTAACAATTTAGTTGTCCTGTGTTTCCAGTACTGCAATGTTCCACAATTTTTCCAGCATGACAGTTTTTTGTACATTTGTTTTTGATTTTGTGAGGTAGCTTATGGAAAACCCTGAACTGCTGCCTTCTAAGAGAAAAGTTAATCATGATCAACAACTCTGTTCAGATGAGCACATGGAAGCAAATTCCAATACTGGAAGTATCATCAGTGATATAAATACTCCACAGAGGATTTCACTTAAAACTATAGCAACTGAAAAGGTTGAAAATTCAGAAGATCTGTTTGGAAACAACAGGATACACTCAATCAAAAATGAACATAAATGTGGACATTTGCTATCTGCCACTGATTTGGAGACACAAAGGTTGAATGCTCCCCATGAGAATGTAATTTTGAGTAAATATAAACATCATATACCTTTTCCCAAATTTGGGAAAGAATTTCATAAAATACACAATACTAATTATCCTACTAATTTGCTGAAAGAAGAATTTCAGAAGTCAGTCTGTAATAATTTGGATTTGTTAGCAAATAATACAGAAAAATCTGGCTTTTTATCCAGAGAAAAATTAAATAACTTAAAAGAAAGTGCAGAAATGGTGATCTCTTTAGATGAAACACATATTGATTTAGCTCCAGTTAAAGAAAATAGCCTACATTTTGATCAAGAATTTTATAAAGACTCCGAATATGTCAATGTAGGGAGTGGTTCTCCTACAACAGTATACAGTGAAAAAGCAGAATCTCAAAGCAAAAATGTACATAAAGAATTTAGGATCAATTACAGTGAATGTGACAGATTCCAGGTTAATTCTTTTACCAAGGTGGTGAAGGATAAGTTACTAATGCTTGATAACAAAGAGCAACTAGAAAAAGAACAACAACAGCAGACTACTTTAAATCAAACCTTACAGAGGCCAGGAAATCAGAAGTTCAGCAAAATCAAAGTAGCCTCTGAATATGGTGGCAAAAGTGTTGCATTGCAAAAGTCCCTGAAAAATTTGGAGCATTTGCAAAAAACAGTGTGCGATCTTCCGAATAAAAATTTAGCTCTCAAGAACAAAGTGGAACCTCTTACGCTTACCGTGCAGTCTTTGAGGGAAAAAATATCAAAATGTCAGATGCAAATTAAGGATTTAGCTAAACGAAAGAAAAGTGTGCAAATTCAGTTAGTTGAATCACAAGAAGATAACAAGGAATGTATTAAGGAAGCAAATAACTTCTTAAGAAAATGTAAAGAACTCCAAAACGAGAAGAACATCCTTGAGGAAGAGAGGAATCAATTCCATAATAGAAACCAACATTCAGTACAGCCACAACATGATTTTCAAATTCGGAACCAGAAAGTAGAAGAAAAGATGGCTGCTGTTACCTGTGAAAGTGCAAATGAAGAATGCGAGAGGTTATCAACAGCGGTAACAAACATGGCAGAGGAAATTCAGTTCCTTAAGAAAGAACTGCAGGAATATAGACAAGACATTTCCAAATATGAAAGTGACATTAGAAAATTGACCAAAGAGTGCTTACTATTAGAAAATCACCTGTCAACTACTGAAAATGTGATATATTGCAGTTTGAATTCCGCCACTTGCATAAGGATTATATTTCTCTCCAACGCCAAGCTACAGCACTGGTCTGTGGGCAAAGGAAACCTGGTTACAGTTCTGGTACCACGCAATATGACTGTTACTTGGAATATTCCACTAGAATTTGTACACAAATTTCTGTTTTAAGTATAAAACTTTGGAATACAATTCACAAGGTATGAGCTTTATTTTCTTTTCCAGGCAGCATCTGATAACCTACAACAGTGTGTTGCTTCAAATAAATTGTAATAAACCATTTTGTAAAACATTTGAAATTCTTATGTCTAGGCATTTCCATGGTTTTTGTATGTTCTAAAAAGAACTGCCTGATTTTTTGATACTTGGCTGAATTTCACAGATTCACAAAAGCAGGTCTTTACACAATTTTAGTAGTATAGAGAAATTTAATGAAACATTTTACAGGAGATAGAATTCTGTCCCTAGGATTTCAAGAGTTGCAGGGGAATCTTAACAACCCTTTAGCTGAACAGCATAGTACATGCCACAACATTTCACTGATTATCTCTCCCAGAAGTCCTAAATTACGTTCAATCTATGTTTGCATATGTTTTAGATGACATCTAATTCTGGTTCGTATTTAGTCAACACAAAGTACCCTTCATCTCTTTATACTACATACTGACTTAGAAAGCTTATTAGTTAAAACAGGAATTTTAACATTTTCAGTGCAAACGTATTCAGGTAACATGGTCATAGCTATGAAAAGTGCAAAAATTATCTTTATGGATACAATCACTGCAAAAATACTCTGATTTTCTCAGACAAGAGACCATGGGGAGGAAGAATTCCTCAAAAATACTGCATATAATATGCTGTGAAGTTGAAGCTACCTATATGCAGTGTCTCTGCAACACTATTAGGACTATTTTCTTAGGAACAACTGTTTTACTCACTCTTTAATAAATAAATCCATGAAAGTAAACCCATGTGATTAGTTACTGGTGTTTCTAGAACAGACTTAGAGGTAATTATTTATCTTCACTTTCCTAGCAGCGCAACACTAGGTGTACAAGCTCCTGGCCAATAAAGGGCACGATCTTGAGAGACATGAAAGTGATCCATTTCTTCCTATTTCTCAAAAAAATCATACAGACTGATTGTAGAAAACTAACATTTATTTATCTGGTTTGTAATAGAAGACTAACTGTAATAGAGCATGTTTTTGTATCATGACTGACACACGCAGTAGAATGACAAAGAGCTACATTAAAGATGTATTGCCACAATTTTGCATTGTATACCCAATGTCAACAAGGACATTAAAGTGGTAAATACTTGGGCTATTGAGTAGATGGTCAGGTGTTTAACTGCATTTAACACTCGCATAAACATGAAGTTGCTTCAGATTGTAGCTATTAAATTGTGGTCATAATCAGTTATAAATGTGACTGGCTATACTGATACTGTAAGGACATAGGGAAGCTGTTATTATGAAAACTAAGTAAGTAATGCCTAACGTCTTCCTTACCTTAAATAACTGAGTAATAAAATGTAAGAAAGTTCTAAATTCCACCATCAGTCAGAGGTACTGCCAAGAATCCAAGGGACACAATTACCATTTGCATTAAAACAGCATACTGAGGCCCTAGCTAGAACTGGGTGGCAGCTCTGTGGGACCACACATTTTCTGGTGGGGACTTAAAGGTTGAAGATATTGGTTTCCATGATGATCACATGAGGCTAGTCCACATACACTAACATTTTCTCAAACAAGATAATTTTTTTTTTTTTTTTAAGCTCCATGTATTTTAATCAGCTTTCAGTATTTCCATCGTGGTAGTGAATGAAAAGATGATTGAAATACAGAGAAAAATAGAGGAGGAAGAATTGCAAGAAGAGAAGAGATAGAAGGACATAAAGAAAAACTTCAGAGCAGTCTTTATCAGCTGTACTACACCAGAACAGCAGTTAGGAAGAAGTACAGTACAGTTCAATCTACCTAGGAATGCTGTGTCTGCAGATTTCACAGGTAAACAACACGGCAAATGCTCCTGATACTCTGTACAAAGATGACAGTAAGGCACCTAAGGTCAACACCAGTACCATTATCTAATAGCAGGTATAAACAAAGAAGGAATTCTGTTACAAGTCTTTGGATAGAGAAAGCATCAAAATTCTTGTATAAATTAATATTTTAAAATATTGTTGGGTCCTGTTGATTTCAAGGTAAGGGGTTTTATGCTTCAACACATGCTCAGACCTGACCAACAATTCTTGGGTTTAGTTTTATTTTCCTTGATGCCAGGAAATGTGAGATCCAGTCTGGAATTTCTTTTTAAAACTATTAACCTGCGAACAGCCATAAGGATACCATTTCATGAATATTCTACAGTGGTACAATAAATATTTAATAAAAATTAAAGAAATTTCGTCTTCATGTAATTATATGGATAAATAAATGCTGAGGATATTTTAAAGTTTTATCATAAATTAGCTTTGATTTACACAAACAAATTTCTTGGACCACATCTAAAAACCTGACAAAAATTAAGATGGAGCTAAGGTGTACATTTAGGATCACACTTCTGTCTGAGTAGAAGCTAGTTTGAAAGATGGATCAGATTTGTTAGGAACCTTCCATGTACACAAAGTGAAATTAAGCTGCTCTTGTAGAATATGGCAGCACTTACACTTGTCAGGAAATTGAGGAAGAGAGATAAATAGATGCTGGTAAATAGAGATGACTTCTCCCTTCAAAACAGCCTGTTTGTGGTCTGTTTTTGAACAATGCTTGATATTGGTCATTTTGAGAAGGTCCTCAAAACTAAAAATTACATATTTTTAAGACAGTTTGTACACAAAATTGTAGCTGAAATAAAGTACAAGTTATAATTCTATTAAAGGGAAACAATGACCTCAGTTTCACTGTGGGACACATGTGACTAACCTGGTTAAAATACACAATGATACTCACTTTAAAATACATGCGCTTTCTTCCAATGCAATACATAGTCTATCTGCCACCCAAATTACTCATCAGAAAGTATGCTTCCTAAAAGTGAGTTTCAAAAGTCCAGTTAAGCAATAAGATGAAAATTCATATAAACATACAACCTTGGGCTTAATAAATAAAAGATCTTAAATTATAGCCTTATATTGAGAAATACAAGATTGCATTCTCAATAATTAAACAGATTGGATTGCCCTATATACTTGAATTCCACTTTTCACATTTTTATTTGCTTTGTTAACAGTTTACAGAGTCTAAAATGTGTGCCCTTCATTTCACCTTTTGTACCTAATAAGTTGTCAGCTGTGCAGTCTTGTAGTTCTTTACATTTAATGATCTGAAAGGAAAATGAAGAGAAACGTATTAGATTTTTTATAGGAAATGTAAATGAAGATAAACTTAGATTTTTGTAGAATATCACTGTACAAATTACAAGAGTTTCTGTAAAATGAAAAACTGTGGTATACCCAGTCCTGTAATTAGATTTGAAGACTTGAATCCTCATGAAGTCAAATTAATTTCTATAAAGCCCTGTGTAACAGCAAGAATCTACACTAGCAAATCCAATTATAGGATTATGGTCCAAATATCAGAAGACAAGCTTTCCATTGGAAAGTACATAAAGAACATTCAGTGGGGAAGCAGATGATTTGAAAAACGTCTTACCACATTTCTTAAAATCTATGAGCTATAAGCTTCATCGTTTTAACAAATTCAGTTCGCAATTCTCATTCTATTAAACCTAGGAATAATGAACCAAAAATAAATACATTCTTTAAAATTCTTAGGAGATAAATAGTAGTGGAGAACTTGAAATGCTAATTTTAATTTCTCTCTGTGGATTTTTTGTTGGATATGTGGAATTTTTCTCTTTACAAATATTTTTATTGAGTCCATCATAACTGTTTCTGTGAGCACAGTGATATTTCACAATCAGTCCCCCCCTTCAGTTTTGAAACCTACTTCGCAGACAGTTAGGGTTTCTTTCCAATAAAAACATTTCATTTAGGAACATGAATTTTCATTCTGTTGATAAAACAACTATACAAACAATTATACTGATAAGAAGGCTACTCAGACCAATATACTGTTATTTTTCCCTTTTACTAGCTTTGAAACACCAGTGTATACATGGAAAGTTGTACTTTCTTACATCAGTGTTGGTAGTTCCCACACTTTTTGGTGTACCAAAAAGTTATTTTCAATTATTTCTTACTTCCCATTAGTAACAAAAAGCAATGTGGAGTAAAATGTAGCTTCTGGTTCTGCCTTGTCAGTGTGAATAAAAACTTCAAAGTATCCCTGCAATTTAAAAAGTGATTATGCAAATGGAAATATGTGGTGAAATAAAGTAAATAGAACAGCAGTGGGAGAATAAGGGAGGTGTATTTCTTAGGCTTCACATATGATACATAAAATACAAATCACAAACATGAAGCAGATTCCTCTAAGACAGTTTTTCAAATTTTAATCAAGTATTTCTAAAATATGTTATTCATGGAGTATGCAAAATAAAATGCTTAACTGTTTTCCATCTTCTAAGATTTTATGTCTGCATTTGAAAGTGATTTCTCTAAATATTTCTGAAGAACAGTCTTGATTTTCTGCTTGAATTACAACAGAGCCAAAACCAGAAAATAAATTTCTTTAAATATAAGGGTTATATCTTAGTAAGATAAAAAAAATAAAGAATTATGTGCTTATCTACCTATATACATACACTGTGTACTATCTATCTCTTCTAACACTGCACAGTGTTACGTTTATAGTTGGGAATCCACTTTGAATGACATAGTTTCAAAAGCTTCACAGGCTTTGGTTACCTAATGTTACGTTTGCCAGAAGAGGGAGCCCATTTTATTCCATGAACGTAAGGGAAAACAAAGCTTGTTTTTAACAGGAATATTCCAGGTCTTTTTACATTTATCAAGTCAGAAAATAATTAAAAATAATAATTTTTCAGTGGCATCTATATAGCATAATTTTGAAGGCCTCTATGATCCATATAGATTTATAAAGTAATCCGAATTTACAGAAGAGATATAGGGATAAATTTTGAAAGCAAAGTTCCTTCAACATTTCTTATCCTTTTGTTAATAATTCATTCCTTCATTTATTCAGTTATTTTAGACTAATAAACAGCTGTGCTAATGACTTTTGGTAGACAGCATACATGAAACATGAACTCAAATTAGTTTACCTTGTGACATTTAAAGTTATTATGCTTCTAACAGGTCTGCTTTTTGGTCCAGCAGGAGGATGAAAAATCTGTTGTTGTTTATTAGTTGTGACAGCATTAGATTTTTTAATTACATAAGGGTCAGCAGAATAGCTTGGGTAAGGGTCAAATGTCCCTCCTTTCATGCCCCCTGACTGAAAAAAACAAACAAACAACTTTTCAAAGTGCCAATCTACAATATAATTGAGTCAATTAAAATATTCTTCATGCAAAAGCAAGTAGGAATACTGAATAGCAGACTACATTGTGTTATATAAAAACCAAAAAACAAGTATTCCTTAAATTAACAATGGAAACTTTAAGGAAAATTCTAGTCATTATTTTGATGAATTCTTAGTTTTAAATGTTCTTTCATAAGTCTGGATTTTGTGGAAAGTATCTTAATAATGTGACAGAAAAAGTAAAAACATATCTCACCAAAGTGAGCTATGTTGTGGCAAAAAAAGGGAATTCCTATGTCACTATTAGTTTACCAGTGCACCTCCGTGTCCAGTACTGGTATAGGGATTGTTACGTACAGCAGGGCTTGGGCATTATTATCAGTATGACTTCTGACATACAGGACTGAATAGAGTATTTTCCTGAAATGTTACATCCACTAGTACTACAAGAGTGGCAAATTTTAGTTAAAAAATATGCAGAGACCTGATTAATTCTTTGCAATCCCCTAGTACAGCTAAATGCCACAATCCGCTGCGGCTGCATTCCTGAAAAGTGCAGCAGTAAGCAATTCAATCAACAATAAAGCAGATTTTCCCCTAAGAATTTATATAGCAGCATGGGGAAGTGTACAGTAGCTTGGGAAGTACACATAATTTAAATATACAGGGAAAGCATATATGGTGTGAAGGATGGGGAGCCTGCAGCAGGATCACCAGCACTGTCAGCCAGACGAGGTTCTGACTTTCTAGCCGCTAACGTCTCTGTACAGATTTCCATTCTGAACGATCTCAGCTGCCTCATCTATGAGGCCAAACACCCAACACAATTATTCATGTGCAAGCATTTTTGCGCTCTTTCTGAATAGTTATAATTTCCTTGCTATCATCATCTTTCTTAGATGAATCAACGTCAGTCAAATAAGTTAAGGGTGAAGGACATAATAAAACAGTGGTTAGCAGAGCACAGTATTAAAAGACTGACAATGGAACTCTAAAATGAAGAGCTGAAAAGTGACAGATTAAGGGCTGTTACTGTATTAGGTATCTGGAGACATTTAAGAGAAAGAGATTTATGCATCTTAAAACAATTTCATAGTGAAATTAAGGTTTAATCTAAGGTGAATGGCATAAATATAGTATCTCATCTCAAAAATATATAACAAGATGAAATGCTTTATGGAATGGAAAAATATCCAGTTAGATCTTAAGAAATAATGACACTAAGCAACTGGAACTAATGAACTATGTTCCTATATATTCTTCATACTAACTCCAGGGTTTATTTCTTACACTCTCTAAGACTTCCACATACATTTATTCCCATCCTTTCCCTCCTTTTCTCCTAGCTATCGAAGAGTTGGCAAATTCTAAAGCAGATTCTAATTTTGTGCCAGCTGATGGACAAGCAACAGGTAACTCCTGAGTTTATTCTGCAGCCTTTTCCGGAGCAGAGGGACTAACCTGAGTTTTTCTGCTCCTTTCAGCTATCCGTTCGCATTCTAGGAATTATCTTTTAGATGTTTGTCTATACAAGCTGAGAGTAATTAGCAGGTTCAAAAATATACCAGTGACTGACAGAGTCCAAAATTTAATTTTGCTACAGTAATCTAGTCTTACTGTCACTTATTGTATAACCTTCTGGTTTGTGTCTTTTTGTGGTGTATGCAGTCAATTAACTATATGTTAACAGCACTATGCAGATTTTAAATAGAAACACTTTTCAGGTTACTTGAAACTGGTTAGCAATTGTTGTTGGGTCAAACAAGATTTCCTTGCTCTGTAAATTGGAAACAAAGTAAATGGAATAATACTTTTATATGAAAAATAAGAAACTAGTAGCAAAACCAAACATTTATTTCTATCTTTTGTACTGTAAGCAAAGTTTTTAACAGGAAATATGTGAGTTCCTTTTTTCTCCAATAGCTATAAGACAAACTAACCTTTTTAGCAGGAGAACTTGGTTTGAAAGGTGGTGCAATTGGCTTCTCTGGAGGCTGCTTCTTCACAGGTGGCAAAGGTTTGTCATTAAAATAGGGATTCATGTCAAAATACTCCTGGGGATACAGATTTAACTTGAAAGGTCCTCCTTTAACCAACCGTTTATGTTCCTCGCGTGCTTTCTGTAAAACAAAGACTTTGAAAGAAACAATGTTGAGGATTTTTACTGTATGTTATTCTAAAAGAAACATGGAAGGTATTTAAATTTAGTATTAGAGAATGTTCTCTCTAACTTTCTTTGCTGTTCTTTGATGATCAAGGTATTTTATATACCCACCATGTATAATGCAACATAGATTCATTCACTGACCAGGAAGCACATGATCACTATGGAAGTACAGCAGGAGAATATCAAGAAAATCACTGTGCATTTAAGATGTGTCTTAACAGTATTGTACACCTGTACCTTGGGCATACATGCACACATACATGTTTGAAAATTCTGCCTGCATGCATTCCAGCTGCTCACGCTTGTCAACTCTGGCCACTACATTTCCTGTATTGTGAGCACCTGACTAAGCTGAGCTTCTCCAGGAATTGGTTCTTTGTACCATGGAAGATGTTGACTATTCTTCCCAGATTCCATTTTAAAATAAAATAGGTTAAAACATCAAGAATAATTAAAAGGCAAGCATAAAATGTACCATCAGTAATATAGTATGGTAATGCATGCTAATGTCTCAGAGCAAATTCTCTTTTTTCTGTCCAGTGGTAACAATTCCCCCTCCCTCTTTTCTCTGTTCTTTTTCTGCACTGGATGCTTAGTTTTGACTCTGAATCTTTTTCAGCTGCAGGTAACTGAATTATTTCTTCAAATCTTGTTCTTGGCCTAGACCAAAAAATGTCCTGCTGCCATTTTTCACTACATATGATGAGAACATACAGGATAACTAAAATCAGTGCAAGCATATTTACGAGTTTTCTTAGATTTATGAGCTTATATGAAGAAAGGAACAGGGTTTTTATATAGCATCAAGGATAATGAGGTTTCATCTGGCAACAACACAGAAGTATTATTGTTCCTGCTGTTGGCATTGTTAGGTCATTATCACACTGTAGCTTAAGGTCTCCAAATAAAAAATTACGGTCAAATACTGCCAGATGTCTCAAAAAATAATAAATGAACAATACATAAATCTTTTTTATACAGGATGGTTATTAATTTGTTTTCCTTCCCCCACCTTGTAAATAAACATTAGCGATTTCAAGCTAAAGGAAACACCAGAGGGAACAAAAAGCTCAGGTAAACTGTAATATATAATCATAACACTAATACATAATAAAGACAAATATTCTTACCTTTGCATTTATTCTTTCTACTTCATACCCATCAGGTTCATGCACATATTGTTCACCTATGGTAAGGTTTGCGTAACTGTAATTAACAACATTAATTACTTATGTGTTCAAACTCAAGAAACATGTAATAAAATACTCTGCAAGAAGCAATATAGTGAAGTTACCCATATCCAGTTCCTTTCTTTCCTGGATTAGTATAAAAATTCTTTCCAGGAGGAATGTATCTTTCTCTGGCTTTCAGTTGTGGACTGAAGTACGCATACGAACCTCCAATGGTTCCATAATAGCTGCCAAGTCCACATCTGAAAACAGTAAATGAACACATTAATTTATGTTTTGCAAATATTTCAGGCTTTCCACATCTAGTCTGCTAAAATGACAGTAAGTGGAAAACCCAAACAATATATACCTCAATATACAATATATATCTCAAGAGTTAAATATAAAACCAGATCAGATCCAGTGTCCATGAATCTACTACTACAGCTCTTCCATGTACAGCATTATGGACAAAAAAGAAACAAGATGGCAGCAGAGATAAAGTTTTAAGGTATCTTAATAATATAAATATGCTTAATAGAGGTTGTTTTAATTTTGGGCCAACAAGGTGAAGTAACACTGGTAGAGACAGATTCACAGAGACCCATAGGAAGAGGTTAAACAGACTTGGTGCTTGATGACAAGAGGACAGTCTTTCCCACAAGTTTACAGAGAACAGCAAGTTAGTTTTGGCATGATAATGCAGTCACAGGCAATGTGGGGTACCTGTCTGAAAGGTTTTTTTTCTGGGAGATGTTAGGACTAGTTAACTTTCTGTCTTGTCACAGAAGAAAAGTAAAAGGAGGCACAGTTCATTTAAGAAAAAAACCTCTGCTTACAAAGCTGCAGGAATTTACAAAGACCGTTTTTTAAAGATGAACTTGAAAATCAGTATTTGCTGACAAGTGTATGACATGCTCTTAAAGTACATGATCATACAGCCACTAAAGGAGAAAAGGATCAAGACAACCCAATGAAATAGCTGAATGGCAATTTGGTCCACTAAGCTGAAGCGACAGTGGTCCAAAAAAACCTAGATTACTAACCCTCTGTCCCTGCACCCCAAAAACCCAAAACAGAACAGAAAAAAATAAACAGGGGCTACTGTATGAGATCTGTCAACTACTCCAGATAGCCGAGATACTCTGCTTTGCCGGTACTGTCTGCAATTATTGTGGGGAGAGAGTAAAGTGTTTCGATGAGGTCCTATTTAAAAAGGCCATTGATGAATACTGACAGGATTAGAATGCCAAGGTAACATTTGTCATCTTTGCACAGAACACTAACCTGCCTGTCCATTACCCTGCTTTTATTTAGGGACTTCATAAACCCATATACAGAAAAAAAATAAGCAAGCTGACAATGCACAGACAACCTTTATCTTGGTGTTTCCTAGCTCTTAAGTACTTTATTTCATATTCTTTAAATGTCACTTCTGTGTGTAGTCTTTTTATATGCCAGTAACAAAATTACAGAGAACAAACATATGAAGAAAAGAAAGGCCCAAACTTCAATCACATCTCCAGAATATGACATCTTTACACCCTTTCCATTTGCAGTCAACAACAAACGTGGCTCCAATGTAAAGGAAAGATTCCCGAGTTGCTTATCATTCAGGCAGTCGATAATAACAACTCAGTGAACAGCAACAGAGCTCTGTGCTAGTTCCTTAGTTACAGTGGGAGTCAGTTTTGGATATAAGAAATGTATAATCACTCTACATAGCTGCTTCAGGATTCCACTAAAAGATGACCTACCCACTTTCACAGCCTCTGCTTTGTACTACTCTGCCAGTATAAATTTAGAGGAGGATAAAGACAATAAAGAACCTGTCCTAAAGCTCATGTCAAGAAGAATTCAAAAGTCGTACAACAAGAATAAGAGCATGAGCTGCTGCGCTTACAGCCAAGAAATGTGTTTGTGGAGGAAGCACATGGAAGAGCACGCATGCGCAGGTCTTCATTGTAAGCAAGACTCGCACTGTTGAACTCAGAAGTGACTCTCATTGACTGACACGGATTTGAAATCAGTGCTGTGGTGTTTCCAACAGTTAAACCCTTATAAATAATTTGGGTGCTATAAAAGCAAGTTGTAGTTGAAAGTAAATTTTGGATATGGGGTTCACACATTGTCTGTCCCATCAGAAATAGCACATGTATATCCAACAAAAAGCCTACACACCATGTCTTACACTCCTATTAAAAGCTAAGACATTCCTGTAACATACAACAGAACACGGCTAATCCTTGCATCCCAAAGTATAATTATATAAAACAAACGTTACTCTCCAAACTTTCCTAAAGCAAAGCTGCAGAAAGATATGACTAAATATAACCATGAGACTGTAAGAACTAGGCCCTCTACACAGACTGAATCCTCCTGTCTCTTATTGCTGCAACAAGAACAAAACAAGTTTGTATCATTATAAATGAGTAAGCAGGCTCTATGTGGTTTTTACACGCGAATAATAATAGCCATATGACACCAATGGTGTCATTTTGTCATGCAATTAATGTTGTGCAAATAGCAAACATGCATATATTTTAATACTCTACATATATTACTCAGGTCTGTAACAACTTCTGGTCGTCCCATAGCATTTTTTCTAACAAAAATATAGCGAATATGGGTTCGCTGAAAGGAAAACACTGCACCTGGTTAGTGGCCCCTTTTCCTACTGTTTATGCAATATATATGCCATCTCTGTTTTGGGAGGCTCAGAAACGGGAGGGAGAAGATATTGCAGCTGACAAGTTCCAACAGATCTCCCCCTAAATTAAAATCAAATATTAATTTGTTAGTTATCCATACCCTTTTCCCATAGCCGTCTTAATTTTCATCAAAAATAAAGAGCTAAAGGCTAAGAAAACTCTTTACAGCAAAAACCAGCAGTTAAGAACAAGCATCAGGACCTGATTTCTGCCTCTGTTCAGCCTTCCCCATGCTGCTGCTCAAAATCCTTTGCTCAGTATTGACTAACACTACATAGTATAAAACAATAATACTGTACTCTCATTACAAGGTTTTTAAGAAATAATTTGTGAAAAACATCTTTAGCATACAGAAAAGAAAAAAAGGTCAATTTAAAACATTTTCACAACACTTACGGCAATTTGTCTCCATTGCTGGGAAGGAAAGCTTTGCCCACATTTTTCTTTGATTCTGCCAATCTATAGCGTCTCCTTAGCTGAACAGAGTTTGAGTAGGCTTCACCGTTGAAAATCCTCACAAACTGAGGCTCAAAGTAACCTGCCTGCAGAGCTGACAATGTTTTGGTCCCCCCTGGTAACATCTGTTTGTTCTTGCCCGCAGCTTCGTTAAAAGGGCCTTTAAAAAAAGTAAGCACTGTAAATAGTTGTTCGATATTAGTGCTTCTCTTGACCTATATTAAAATACTAAGGTCTGGGTCAGGGTGGCTCAAATAATGTACTACAGAGCATTTAACCTGTAAATCACATGTGTAAATGGTTGTGTCTGAAAGACAACGCTATGAAAAGGCATTCACAGCACCAAGTTTTAGTCTTCCACCCCCTGCATTTGCTTTACAGGCAACGGAGAGAGATTAGTTACTCCAGACTACAATTCAGAGCCGGAGCTGATGTCTATTTACATACTATGAGTAATACTTCAGAGGAGCATCTCTCTCCCACTGATTACAGACCGGGTAGAATAGCTTAAGTGCCTCCAGCGGGGTTTTGAATCCCCAGCAGCTCAGTGTGGTAGATACGTATCAGCTGGGGTTCTGGTGGATGTGCTCATCACTCACACAACAATACAGCAGAAATGTCTGTATTGAGAAAGCAGGATTATTTTGCATTATCACTTCAAAGCAGCTACTGAGGGTTAACCTCTGTAACCTTATTAATGACAAAAATTACCTTTCTCAGTGAATATTCCCATTAAACAACAAGGAGAATATTCTTTAAAAAGACAGGATGGGGAATCTCACACACGAGTCAGATCATCAGAGCAAAAAAAAAAAAAATTTCAACATTAATTTAAAAATTATGACAATGTAATTGCCAGTAACAGAAAACCTGCTGAAAAAGCACACAAAAACCACTATTGTTTTTCACAAAAGCAGGAAAATACTGGTAGCCTGCAAGTAATTCATAATAAAAAGAAATGTATACACTAAAAGATTTTATCAGTCTGTTATACATACACATTTTTCAGTTTTACTGGATTTTTCCTTTCTTCGATATATTCATTCCACCATATCAAGCCTCTCTCTTAATAACACAGACCTGAGCAAAGAATATGTATGAAAAAGCAGTTCCCTCTAACAACAAAAAAGAAAATACTAGAAAATCGTGATTCTGAAGGTAGATGGATCCTAGAGGCAGTCCCTATCACTAAATGGTGATTAAAATTAAATGTACTCACGCATATAATGTGATATATATTTATCTCCAATGGTAACATAACCCATTTCACTGAAGAGGCCAATCCTCTCCATATCACTTTTCCCTTCTGCAGGCATGGCTGGACCTGTGACAGTGCACTGCACTAAAATGGTTGAAGTATCCTTGCTTATTTGTTCTACTGCAAAAGTCTATAAGCAGTCCACACCTGTAAAGAAAAAGTTTAAGTAAAATTCAAGAAGTTTTGGTTTAAAATATTAGCAATAAATTAATCTGAAGAAAGCAATCTACAATATGATTGACAGTTTTGGTGCTTATGGGACAAATGGACTATGTGGGATTTAGACACCATTATTTCTCCTCTGTTAAGCAAATTCAAAGCATAAGCAGAGAGAGAAAATCAAATGCGTTTGTAATACAACTGGTGCAACTCTTACTGAATTTACATAGTTAGGGGTGAAATTTTTTGACAGCTATCTTCAGAGTACAAAGATGAGAGGTTTTGGTGGCATTAACAGTAGCAATAAAACATGCTGAGCAGCCTTCTTCATCTGGTGAGTTCTCTCTACCAATGGTACGGAACGCCAGCATACGGACAAATCTGGGGTAAAACATAAAAGTGGAATTTTGGAAGCCCTCTAACTAATCCAAGGACTGGTCATGGTAAATATCTACAACTTCTTCTTGGTTTTAATGCAAATGATTTACAGTAAATGTTAATTTTTCCTCATCATTACCCTCATTGGAGCCTGACACAACTAAGGAAAATGCCTAGTTGACAAGCGTAAGGAACTCAAGGGCTTGAACAGAGAGCAGGCTTAGCACTAAGATTACCAGGGATCTGATTCCCAGAGTGAAAACTAGTAGAGATGGGAATCAGAATCCACAGGAGGAAGATAACAATATATGATAAATTCGCCAGAAATGGAAATTAAGGTAGAAGAAATTGGTTAACATGTTAGGAAAGCTGTATCTTGAAAGTAATGAAATATAATATCAAAAAAATCAAGGATGTGCAAACAAATAGCTGAAGTATCTGTGTCCATACAGCTCGAAAGAGGACAGGGAAGACATTACGGTAAAATACAGATTAAAGAGAATGTAGATCAAGTCCCAAGTTGGTATTAACTATGGGGGAAAAGGCAAGATGGAATATAGGAATGAAAATAACTTGGGCAGCAGAATACTATGAGGGATTATTATCACGTTAGCTGTATCTGGCATGTGGGTGCAGAGCAGAAAAGCAGCAGCAGAGCACTGGAAATCTATATAATAATATAAATAGAATGTATTTAATTGCAATATAAATATAAAATATATGTTGTGTATTGTTTTTATATAAATATAAAAATATTGTATAATAAAATGTATACTACTTTATATAAATCTAAAAATATATTTTATTAATAAAATACGATGGAACACTGTACAATGGAAGGGCTAGCCACATTTTGCTTGTTCTGAGCACACAAGATGGACAGCATGCTGAAGTTTTCAGTTTGAAGCAATTTTTTTTGCAACCTGTGGAGGTACACAGTGTAAAATGACCACCACTTCATCAGGTGAACTTCATAACTGCAAACTAAGATTATTAGAAAATCGGTATTTGTGGAATAGAATTATTAAGATCCATTTAAGATGTTTTAACCATTTAACAGTTGTGTTGCAGAACAAATACTGATCTTTTGAGGAATAGTTGGAATAACTGTAGAATAAGGCACTCATAAATAATCTTACTGGAGACGGTTTGGCCTTGTAGTGGCAGGTGCAAACATAAAGAAGCTGCAAATTAGCAACAAAACGAGACCAGGCCAGCCTTGAAAGACACGATGTACTTGACCACTGGACTGAGTTTGCGCAGAAGTAAGGGTCAACTGGTGAACACAGTGAAGAAGACTACGAGCCTTCCTCTGAAGACCCCCAACGGCCACCCGAAGACTCCAACTGACATGTGCAAGATACATTAACATATGCTAAATGAGTTCTCAGAAAAGTTATATGATAAAAATGCAATGAATAGGTATCATTAAGGTAGTATAAATGCTTGTTGATTTCATTCTCACACACACACATTAGGAGGAGCTATCCCCTGGGTGTCCGGCGCTGTAATAAAGAATGCCTGCCTTCTACAACTCCAAAATTGAGTCTTAGAAAGTGAATTAACTACCAATTTCCAGTAACAAATTCAGTACTGTTCTTCAATTATTGGTAGATCTAAACATCAGGTAAGGAGCCAAAGGGCAGGAGACAACAAATACCACTGGAAGGAGATGACAGAAAACTGACCCTTGGAAACAAGGGCTCACTGTTATGAAGCTAGTTGGCATTACTGAGAACAGGAATAGCTTATCGAACATAAATAGACCTGAAGTTAAATTCTACAGTGTAAAGCATAGATCGTTGATCAAGGGATTAATGTGAAGGATCTCTGGACCTCCTGGCCTTGAATCAACAGCAGTGCTGGTGTCAGCGGGCAGGCAGGCGCGGTTCCGGAGCGTCTCCCCAAGAATCTGTAGGAAAGGCGAGGAAATATTTTCCCACAGAGCGCTGATACCCCAAAAACTGGATTAAGTACTGCTACGGGTGGCTGCCCACGCGACAGAAAGCCCAACTCCGCGCACCGCGCCGCCCAGCGCCGGCCCAGCGGTACGCGCGGCAGCGGAGGGTAATGCCGCTCACCCACGAGGGAACCGAGTGGCAGGCACCTACTTGCCGGAGCCAGCGCCTCACTCGCAAGGAGGCCGCGGCCGGCAGGAGCGAGAGGCGGCGGGGAGCGCCAGCGGCCGCCGCCCAACCGCTGCGGGGGCCGGTTGCTCAGGAGGCGGATAGGCTCAACCGGCAGAGCTGACAAGTCGCGCCTATCCCCGTCACCACACCACACACCCCCCCCCCCGGGCTCCCCGCATTGGTACGGCCCAGGATGGTGACGGCTTCACGGGCGGAGAGCTCCCGGCCGTCGCGCAGCTCCTACCAACCGCCCCTTAAAGGGGGGGGGGTGAGGAGGCAAAGTGCCTGCCCCCACCCTCCCTCTCCGGTCCGGGCGGCCCCGCCCGCTGGGCGGGAGCGCGCCTGCGCGGGGAGGATGCGGCCGGGTTCGGCCCCCGCTGCGGCGCTGACGGACGTGGTGAGTCCGCCCCTCCCCCGCGGCCCGCGCGTGGGGGCAGCGCGGGGGAGGGGGTCCGCCCTCAGCGGGGAGGGGAGGAGGAGGAGGAGGGAGGAGAGGGCAAGGCAAGGCAGCTGCTCGGGCTAGGGGCTTGCCTCAGCAGACATTTCCCCCCCACACACACCCAAAAGGGCGGCGGGGGTCTGGTGCGGCGCTCGGGCCTCCGGCCCCCGGGGGCACCTGGGGCGGAGGTGCAGAGCCCCCCCCCCCCCCCCCCCCCCGGGCTGCTCAGGGTACGAGGCCCTTTCTGCAGGGCCCGGAACTCCCGCGCCCCCACCCCCACGTTCGGCCCCCCCGGGCACTTCGGGCGTCTCGGCCTGCGTGGCTTTTGGCAGCGGTTTGTCGGAAAACCTCGGCATCCGCGATGAGCCGCTATCGAAAGGCCAAATCCTTTCTCACTCCTGCAGAGCTCTGCTCTTCGTTCGTGAAAGTTGTTGCTACGTTGTCAAAAAATAAAACATCTTTCCCGTCAGCAGATGTTTTTTCTGTCAAATGTGGAACTCAGCCTGGGTTCTATAGGTTCTGTGTCTCCCTACCTTTTTTTGTTTTTCCTTTTCCTGAGTATAGAATTAAGAATTTCTTGTTTAAATAGGAAATGTGTTTTAAGGACAGTGTTACAGCACGACGTGTGTAATTGAGGTACTGGCTCTGGCAACTATGTGCTGCTGTGCCACTCGCTTCCCTGTTTATTCACTGACCTTTTGTACCCTGAGCAGCTGCAGTAATTACCGGTGCACTTGCACACTGTGCTATAAAAACAGTCAATTGTAACTTGAGAGAAAGCATGTTGAAATAGCTCTTCATTTTCATTGCTTCTTTTTTTTTTTTTCTTAGGTAATTCTAGAAGCTATGGACATACTCTTTAGAATAAGAGGAGGATTGGATCTTGCATTTCAGCTAGCAACTACTGATGGTGTGTCTATAAGACTATAACAGATTTCCTAACACTTGTATAAATAACCTTTTATTAATTAACTAGTTATGATGTTTATTTTCTTGGCATTTTACCAGATGTTAAATGCTTCTTCCCATACTTGTAAAGGCTAAGTACAGAAGGTGTTACTCTTCATTGACATTAATTTTCTGACGGTTTTTCCACTGTATGTGTTTTATTTTATTTTGAACTAAAGTTTAAATTGTGATTTTTAGTTAATTTTATTTACATATCTTTTCTACATAAGGATATGGTATTGGGATCACTTTTTACTTTGAATTCAAAGTTGGCACTGAAATTCTAAGCAAACAGAGAACAACTTAAAGACAATGAGTTTGGTTTCAGTGGGATTATATTAACAATACAGTTTTGAGATTGTGGTCCAGTCTTTCTAGAGAAATAGAGATGAACAAGCTAACTAGTTACTCTACTGAATTTAGGTGGGATTGGCTACTGCAGTTCCATGTGACAACAAGGGACCAGACCATATGGCGTTAAGAGGCTTCTGTAGTCCCACATTTTTACAGTAACATGACACTTCAGAAAGTCTGCTCAAGGTGATCAGTGGCCACTGAGCTATCATAGGGTGAAGTGTGGAAGGAGGGTGTCTTTAGCTCAACTGTAGCTAATTCTGCATTTTAAAAGGGCATGTCTTTACTACAAACTCTGAATTCAGTACTAGTGAACCTTGAAAAGGAACTTGGGCTCATTTCAGTTCATGATGTCGAATAGAAGTCTTGAGTAGGTTGGCCTAATGCATAGCAACTTTTTGTGAATTGCATCCTCAGAGAAAGGCTATTTGTTTGACTTTGTTTACAGTGTAGTGATTTTTAACCACAGTGAAGCAGAACAATATTCAGATTGCCCAAGTGCATGGTGTTCACACCTGTTGGTGTGTAAATATGGCAGGCCACTCCTGAAGGCAGTGAGATTTTCTTTTTGGAGGAGTTTTGTTTCATTTTTCTAATACTGTAGTTTTTATGGACTTCTAGTGCAAAAGTCAACTCATAGTAGCCAAATCTAAGTTAATGCATTAAAGAAATACAACTCAGCATAGTCTTTGATGGATTGTTAGGCTTTGTGTAACTTGTTGCATTCTAAGTACTGGTTTTTAATCTCCTCAATGAGGAAAACAATTCTGGTAACGTGCAAACGTTGCTCTGTCATATCCAGTATTGATTCAGGTTGTAAGGAGTGCGTGAAACTTGAAAAGCCAAGTCAAGCTGTGAAAAATGACCATCTATACTGTTAATAAAGATTCGGGCTGACCAGGGTGTGTCTTACAGTTATACGTTTATGTTGGCCAAAATTTGGTCTGCAGCTGGAGTGTAGGCCCTGCTTTTCCAAAAATGTGTTATGTTTTTGGTTTGTATTTCTGAATAATGATATGAAGTTGGGAACATGTGACTCGGATTGAACCTTTCCAGGATTTATTCAAAAGATTAAATAAAACCATATGTAGAAGTTTGTACATAGAAGTTCATTTGCAACTGTAGGCTCGGTTAAGAGTTATTGATGTGAGAATCGACTGCAGTGTAGGTTATTCTTCTCTAATTCATTCAGCTCTTCATATTTGACAGCATCTGAGAGAAGCAGTACACTTTTGTTCAGGCAGGCACGAGTGTGAATGTTTGAGACAGACTTGCTAAGGGAAATCTTATCTCAGGTTTTGTTTACACAGCCATTTTTCTGATCATAACAGCACTTATGTTTTTATTCCAAGTCAAAACATAACAATTTTTTTAAAATATATGCCCAGCAGCTTTATTAAAAGTGAAGGAACTTTCTAGGCTAATTGTATCCTTATTGTGTTTCAGAGGCATCAACAAGAAAGGCATTAGGATATGTTTTCAGTGATCTTGCAAACAAACTGTCTTCAGATGTTCTCGTATTAAGAATTTGCCAGAGTTCAGTCTATGTGTGGCCTAACAATGGTATGAGCACTGTTCCAGAGCTGACTGATGATTCTGCTTGTAAGGAGATAAGACGATTTATACAGTGAGTATATTTAATTTTTTTTTTAATAGATTAATTTCATATTATTGAAATTTGTCTTTCTGTTGATACTTCAGATTTGATCAAGATGATGAGACCAAACGAAAGCTTGGCAAAAAAAAAGATAAAAAGTTACAAGATACGGTATGTGTCTCACCACTCTAATAAATTATATCAGACAATCTATCACTTAAACATTTTTAGATCTGCCCTTCCTAGGCTTTTCTGTACACAAATAGACATTGACATGACTTAAAAGAATCTTTTTAAAGTAATTGAGACTCAGTGTGAATACAGAGATCCATCTACAGTAGATCAGCATGTAGAAGTTTGTCTTTAACATTACTAGTTTGTTGGGATTTTTTAACCCAAGTATTTAACTGTTGGGTTTGATACCAAATATCTACAATCTTACTTTTACCTTCATGGTGCATGTGTTGTCAGAGATGTATTATTGGTGTCTTTATTCTCTGCAGCAGCAGATAGTCAATATAGACCTCATGCTGGAAATGACATCTTCATTAGCTGCTTTGGCTCCAGTCATTGAAAGGGAAAATAAGGAACATCACTACATAAATATGACATTACCAGTTGATGTTGTTGTATCTGTTTCTCCAGAAGAAGCATGGGGAAAGTAAGTGTTTTCCTGAATTTGTAGTTTGTCAGCTTCATTTATGCTTTTTCTTGAAATAATGAAGTAAAGCTCTATCATTAATCAGTTTAATGAAGTAGCTTATAGTACTTTTGTATTGAAATTTAACTGTGTAAATAATAAAAGCTCCTGTAGACAGCTGTTAGCTTTAATAATCTTGAGACACAATCCTTTTGCTATCAACATAAAATTCAGTTTATCAATGTCTGATAGATTTGATGACTCATAGCCATTGCTTACCAAGGAACTGAGAAAGTCAGGAAAATGTTCTACAAATTCTTGTAGGTATGTGAGTGTATATAAAAGAGAGAATTGGAGTGTATTTGATGAGTCTATAATCCCAGTACTACCTTAGGAGCTGCAGCTGTGTAGGTGGAAAACATTACAGTCTTCCTCTGTTTTTCCATAGGATTTGACTCTAAAGGATGCTAACTAGGGTGGATAAAATGCAAAAAACCCCCCACAGATAGTCATATATGTAACTTTCATTCCAGCAAATGCTCATAATGGTCGTGTTTCTGATATAAGACCAAGGTACCTGAACTTTGGAGGGTTGAATCACCAGCAAGTAGTTTTTGTGTGTAGATATGCTTTCAGTAAAGCACGGTGAAGTTCTTTGTGGGAGTGGATGCATCAGACCAGGTGCAAATATGCATATAAGTATTGTGTAACTATCAGAGCTATGAGAGAAAATGATCCACCATCACTGTTCTACTTTTTAAATATTCTTCCCTGTACTTTGCAGGGTACAAAATCTCCTGGTGAAAGCAATTCACAGGCAATTAACTGACATGGAAAGATGTATCATGAAATATATGAAGGGAACATCAATTGTGGTACCAGAACAATTTCATTTCATGTTACCAGGAAAAAATCACCTTGTAACAATCTCGTATCCTACAGGTATTTCAGATGATCAGCTGGAAAGTTACAGAAAGGTAAAGCTAACAAATACTAACAGAATCTGATTTTTTTTTTAATTATTATCATTATTGTAACTGAAGCAGTGGTAAAACTTTTCCTTTAGCCAACGTACAATAAATACTAACATTCTGCTATTTTTAAAATTTATTTTTATTATAACTGAAGCAGTATACTGAGTGTGAAAGCTTGATTTATTAGAAGTTATTTTATAAAATGTGCCAGATCTCATTTTTGTAAGGGGACAATAGAAACTTTAAAACTACATATCATTTGTTTTAGGCAAAACCTATCTAAATTATACTTCTGTTACTGTATTCTTTGAATTTCTCCACTTCTGTGGTAGAATATCACATTACCTGTAGCATGTTATTATTTTTAGGTTTTAACACGTGTCCTGAAAGGGTTAGGGGTTTTTTTGTTTGTTTGTTTTGGTTTCTTTGTTGAGGTTGTGTGGTGTTGGGTTGGTTGGTTGGGGGGGGGCTGCTCTGGCCAGCCTTAGATAGCTTTTGGTTGGTTGGTTTTTGCCTTCTGGGTTGGCACATATAGAAAAAGGAATATGGATAAGGTGGAAAAATGTTCTGATGTGGTGGTTTTTTCAGATTGAGACGTGTACCTGGCAGATACCAGTTCAGGTCACACAGTTACACATGACTGAGAGTGGGGAAGGAATTTTCTGCTGCCTCAGAAGTGTCAAAGCCATGGGGATTTTTCTTTTTCTTCTTCCATGTGAAGCACTACTGAGTATATAAAACCTAATCCATCTCTTGCATTTGCAGAGGCCTCAGGCACTGGTGGCACATCAAATCTTTCCTACTTACCCTCTTTTGTTCACTCTTACCGGCTGATTGCTAAGTGTTACTGTAGCTAATGTACCTGGGTTCAGCGTTGGGTCATCTGTGTAAAATGTATTACCTGTGTTAACACACATTATCCTAGATGATCTCCTCATTCCTTTCACTTCTAAGCTCTGTGAAATAAGACAATATATCTCTTTAAATGTGGCTGCTGTGTTGTAAACAGTGCTTAATAGATCTAAAAATAGCCAGAATCTGCTTAACCCATAAACTCAGTACCTTTACTTTGTTTCAGTACATGGTATTTGTATGTCTTCAATATTAGTTAAGAAGTAATTCAAAGTGTGTGTATCTATATTACTACATAGATAAAGCTGTAATCCTTTTCTATTCTAGTAGTAAACATACATGCTGAATATTTAATTAAGCAGATTTTACTATATTAATTTGCTAAACTACGCTGTTAAAATTGTTTATGTCTCTATTGTTATTTACATTGTGATGCTTCTTTTAATCCAAAATTTGAATTGTGCTCTTTATTTTTATTTGAACTTGCATGTAGGAATTGCACGGGTTATTCGATCTGCCTTGTGACAGACCATATTTCAAGAGAGCAAATGCTTATCATTTTCCAGATGAACCATATAAAGATGGGTATCTCAGAAACCCACATTTACATCTTAATTCACCTGGTACAGAGTCCAGTACGGTAAGGTTAAATTGAAACATTTCTAAGAAAGTACTTTTTGTTTTACTTGAGATTTGCTATTAAAAGAAGTAATTTAGATAAATAGCCAATACTGTATAGATGAGAAAGTGGAGTAACTGATTTGTCCTTTTAAGCAAAAAGGCCTCTCACATAATGGCATTGCTTTAGCTGTATTTGTCCCAAAGAAATTGCATTTTCTTGGAAAAGGATGTACATGCTTTTGTACGTATTTTAAAAGTTTCTCAGAACCAGGACAAGAAACTAAAACTATAAATGAAGATATTTAGGAGACAAAAGCAGGAGGAGTAATCATGTGTGAATATCAACCCTTCAACTCTTCCAAAGATTTGCAGTCCCCAATTGAAAGCTTTTACAGTGCAAGTGACAAGTCATATGACTTTTCTGAAAACTGACGCAAGTGTGATCAGATTAATTTGCATTATGTCTTTCTGTGCAGGTTTATTTAGTACATGGTGTGTATAGTTATCACCACTATATGCAGGATCGGATTGATGACAGTGGTTGGGGCTGTGCTTATCGGTCTCTGCAGACAATCTGTTCTTGGTTCAAGCACCAAGGTTACATTGATACACTTATACCAACACACAAGGAGATTCAACAGGTACAGAACATTTAAGCAGATTAATTATTTTATGCATATTTGTCTAGAAGGGTTTGTATAGGTTATTTTTAAAATATCAAATTTAGATATTTTAGACTTCAGATTTGTGTGATGTTTTTGGTTTATCTCTTAAATTGAACTATCATAGTTCTAAATTACTATTTTTTAACAAGTTTTATTATAGGAGATCTGTCTCCAAATGTTTATCAGTGTTGGGTAACATTATCTGTTCATATAAGACTCATTAAAATAGTCTTCTAAATAATTACTTGGATTCATGTTCTATTAGAAGCTCAGATTATGACATTTCCACCATTTTTGCCAAATGAAAGAAAACAAAGAACCCAGTGTGCCATACTAAAATCAGTTTTAAAACTGGCTTTTGTAATTCGGTGACAGCTGGATTAGTCCCCAGATGCTATGCATTGATTTACTACTGCCCTTTGCAACTTTGCCTTTGAGAGTAGTGGGCTTTTCCTGCTTTTTGAACTCTCCTTCACTTCTTTTTCTATTGTGAATTTGAACGCATACCTGAATATGTTGGTTTCTGTTAACTGCACTGAAGAAAAACTGTAGGCTTGGGTAGCTAATATTGTACGCCTAGCAAAAAATACTGCACATTATCTTCAGTCTTCTAAAAGTAGTTCTTTGCATTATATTTATTTACTGAACATTTTTAGCAAAGTTTGATTCAGTCCATGAAACAGCTTTCATCATACCCAACAGGGATGTGAGCACTAAAGTTAAAACTGCATTTCCTGAACATTTCTCAGTCCACACCTAAAACCGGCTGAAGTCCATGTGGTCCTGTAGTACTTTTAGACAGCTGGAAGAGGGCAGTAGCCTGCAGAAGACTCTGTGGGCTTCCTATCCTGAGTGGAAAGGCCCCTTCAGTGCTGCATGTAACATACAAGCCTCAGAATGGAGAAGGGTTTAAAATAAACCACAGCCTTCCGTGCATTTCAGTGGCCTCTTCCTCAGAGCACTACCTGATGGATCCTTTTCTGAGATGCTTTGACTGGGACTCCAGGTGCTTCACTCTGTGAAGTGGCTTCTGCAGTACAAATGATGCACTCCGTTATCGGACACCACAGTGCTCACCATCCCAGCTTGAAGTCTGCCCATGGACCTGGGGTGTTATATTCTGTGCTAATAGGCACTGTTCTGTATTAGCATTCAAGTGACAATTCCAAAACAGAACTGCAATGAATGAATTCAACATCCATTTGTCTGCTTTTGACAAGCTAGGTTTAAAACGCATTCCCATATGTGTAAACCAGCTTTGTTCACAGAAAGTGGTGGAATTGCCTACTAAATGTTGTTGACACTGGTTTTTCTTCTTCATTCTGATGTTGCAAAGGCACTGGTTGATGCTGGCGACAAGCCTGCAGCATTTGTTGGGTCACGGCAATGGATTGGTTCAATTGAGGTACAGCTTGTTTTGAATCAGCTTTTTGGAATAACATCAAAAATATTGTTTGTCAGGTAAGAATCAATATCTGTTTAATAGCTCAGTAATCAATAAAAAGACTGAATGCCTTAAAATGCAAATTACCATTACAATACATGGGAGAATACAGATAATAAAAGAGAGAAATCGTTTAAGGGTTCCTTGTTCATAAACCCTGTTTTCCTGCCTTTGATTGTGCTAAGTGCTTACAGATGAAGGTGTTGCTAAATTTCCTGGGGGCTTGGCATTCCAGTTTGCAGTTGCTCTAAATTGATTAATGGTATGCAAACTGATGTGGAATTCAGTCTATTCCTTTGCACCACAAACATAATTTTTGAAACGGACACACAGCCTGGCGGTCATAATGAACTGAATGCACACTGACAGTAAATTATTACTTCGTACACAGAACTAAGCCATCAGTTCAGGACTGAGACAAATTGCTGAGCAGCCTGGAAAGAGTGTTCCCTTTTCTGAGTCTGTGCAACAGATAGAACAAGGGATTTGTTTCCATTCTGACAACCTGAGGCTCTCATATGCGGAAAAGAACCCTACAAATACTTATGGGAGAAAAAGAGTAACGTTCAACATTTATCAGAATTACTGGATTTTTATCATTTAGGCAGCATGAAGCAGATTAACAAATCCCTGACCGTTTTGAGATAAATACAACAATGAAATAAAGAATATATACTAACAGCATTTATGAAAATTCTAGTCAAACAAAATACTACTCATGAGTTACGTTTGTTTAGAGTAAATTCTACTGGAGATACTCTAAAAGAGCATGTGACCATAGTGATTCTTAACAGTAGGAAAATAGTTCAGTTCTTCGATATTTTGTAAAGCTTTATACAGCCAATTTTAATATTTTTTGTTCCAGAGCTTATATTTGCAGATGATCCACCTATTATTTATAGCAGCTATGACAGGCCCTGCCAGTATGAAGGCTTTCAGTCCTGCACATAAGAACACAGAATAGATTCCTTTGTGAACTGGGTAGAATTGCTTATAGTACTGCTACAAGGGAGCACCAATGTTTTTCAGGATTATGAAAAGCCAACATCACTACCATGCTGAGAAGAAGAAATGTTGTGCACCTTTTTCAGCTGGTCACTGGGAGTGGGTAGCATTTTTGTCTTGGGCTGATTTTCAGCAAGCACCTCTAACTCTTTATGGAAATAAGACTTTACAGCTGCGCCAGCAACACTAGCACCGAGTCCATTATTGTAAATGCACCATGCCCCAGAGTTCAGGTTTTATACTCTGTCTACATTCAATCCATCTCTCCAGGAACTTGAGAAGCAGGCACACAGGCTTTCGTTGGGTTTTCAAGAGGTTAATCACTATATGAAGAAATATAGACGAGATATTAAAAATACCTGTATTAATTTCCTTGTCTAACTTCTGTCACCACTCTTGGAAGTACTGTCAGTCTTCTAAGGAGAATATGAGTCTCTGACAGACATACGTCTTCAGCTTCAAATCCTGGAGTATGTGCCTGTATTCTGTGTGCACCTTTCTCTTCCATGTAGACTTCTTTTGTCTGTGGCTGGTCCCCATAGTTGAAAAAGGAAGCAGGGAGATTATAACAAAGCTAAATTCAGTGTTGCTTTGAACAGATTACTAATGGTATTTGAGATTTGATTTTTAAAGCCAACTTGGGTGTAAGTACTGCAGTTGCTTGTGCAATTACAGTGGAAACCTGTCATAAGAAACATCATTATAAACACCTTTATCAACATTTTATTTGTGGTGTTTCTGATGAAGTTCTGCTACTTCAGATTTCCCCTCGTTGGCAGATGTAGCTGATCTGTTTTTCAGCCACTTGGAGGGACCCATTGGGGTTTAGCAGCTGTCCCCACCATGGGTGACAAGCAGCAGACACTTATAGAAGCTGGGTGACTCCAGGTGCTCCAGTGGCATCTGGGCTTACAGCAGATTCATTGATCCAATCAGAATCTGTAAGTTACCTTAAAAAACTTCTTTTCAGATTGTTCCAGGATGTTTGCACGGGAAAACTCTAAGTCCCTTTCTAATCAGTTACCTATGCAGTTAAGGAATATAATGGATAATTAGAGAATTAAGTCTAATGAGGATGACAGATCTTTTGTTTTTCTTACCTAGCCAGGGTTCTGAACTAGCGTTGCAGGGAAGAGAGCTTGCTAATCATTTCAAGACTGAAGGAACTCCAGTTATGATTGGTAAGTGCTTGAGTATTGAAGAAAGCCAATTAAAGCACATGGCCTCCCTATGCTGAACTTCATTTCAGTTAGAACTCATTCAGTTTACTGTACAAGAGTTAAACAAAACTCTAGATGAATTAAAAACTACGCTTTTCTTAAGGGAGCCTGGAAAATGATACAATTTAGTCTGGCTGGTATCTTTTCACTCAGTATTTCTCCCAAATTCAGTATTAAACCTGGTAACAGAAGTCTATCTAAATGGTGTTCTTAAAAACTGCTGTGAAAGTCAGAACTTGAGGCTGACTTCTGATTTCTGGAGAAGAAGTTCCCCTAAACCTCCAATCACAGAAGAGCAGTGTTTGGCCTTGGTATTATCCAAATTCTTTTTAAGCCAGATTTTAATAGTCTGAAATGTTGGTAACATAAGAAATGCTATTCATAAGAACACCATAACTTTAATCAAACTATTTCCAAGACAGCTTTAGAAAGTGATGAATATTGAAAATGTAATTCCCAGCTTTAATAAAATGTTACTTTTAGCAATTTTTGCAATCTGTATTTGTTGCTCCATAAAGACAGTGTTAGTCTCTCAAATTAGAGGTGCCAGAAATCCAGATTTTGGTATCTTGGCCTTTCAGCAGCCTTTTTGTCTGAATTTCAAGAATTTAGAACCCTATATTGAAAAATCTTTTAGTCTGTAACTCATCCTTTCCTGTAATGCTCTCTTGTAGATTGGTTTAGCTTTTGAATTTTTCCAGATTCCTTTTCTACAGTTAAGTTTCTTTAAAGAAAAAGTAAGCAAAACAGATGTGTGAAGTATTCTTGACTTCATCTGGTGGAAGTATTGAGGATATAACCCGCCTTGCTGACATGGAAGAAATTTGGAAAGTAAATTCTTTAGTTGTAGTAAGTAAAGTATAATAAGTAATCTTCCCTAGCTGTAGTAGAGGTATGTTGTTTAATAATGTGAAGATTCTTACAGGACAGCTTCAGAATGATTTTGATAACCAAGTTGATCTGTTAATAGAAAGTGTTGATGTACTTTTACTTTAGGCTTGCACATTTAGCCAATGTCAGTGAAAAATTTTTAGCAATTTTTGTTCCTCCTGTTTTAGGTGGAGGTGTTTTGGCTCACACAATATTAGGAGTGGCTTGGAATGAGATTACAGGGCACATAAAATATTTGATTCTTGACCCACATTACACTGGAGGAGAAGATCTGCATGTTATTTTGGAAAAGGTGAGGTTTGATGCATGTACATAGATATATATATGCACACACAGAGGTATGTATATACCCACATTTCGGCATTAAGCAGCTTATGTACAGCCACATACAAATTAGTTGTTCCATGGCTTCTCCATTCTTTATGAAGTGCTGATCCCAGTTAACCTGTGTATATGCTACCTATTTTTAGTTTCTGAATCTTAGTGTCTTTGGAGAAGATATATCGGGTCAGCAACTACATAAAGTTATTATAGTACAAAGAAATGTTCTTTACTTCCTCTGGATTAAACCATCTCCCCTTTTACCCAGTAGTATATAAATATGTGTGTTTGTTATTTTGACTGGAACATAAACATCCGTTCAGCCTGCAAAATGCTGTTAGTGAAGCGAAGATAACCATTTTTAAAAAACTTCTAAAAATGTTTAAAAAAATCCAGCATGAGGCATTCTCGGATCAGGCCTTGAACTAAGTTTAAAGGGCAGGTACTCAGCTGTTTTGAAAATCTGGGAAGAGTCTAAAGAACTAAAGGGTATGTAATGTTATTTCCATATTTAAAGCTACTAAGAGGGATTACACGAACATTACGAAAAAGAAAAGTTAGTGTCAGAAACATGAACTGTGAAATGGCCAAACCATCCTATAGATGCTAAGTAATCAGTTTCTTTTCTGTTCTTAAGGTTGGGTTGCAAACAGCAACTTCTATTTTGTATCTTCATTAGATACCCTTGGGTTGGGCCCAACTAGAAAAGTTGTTGAAGAAACATTTTGCTAGACCTAGAAGGATCAAAGCTTGAAATGAATACAGAGAAACAATTTCCCAAGAACCCTTAGAACCAGAGGCTGTTGCAGCAATAAGGTGTTCAGGAACTGTCCAGGAGGATAAAATACATGCAGAACCCCCTTTCCTCATCAACAGTGGCTGGGGAGAGAAGGAACTAAGGTGGACTCTTAAGTGTGTTGCCCTTTTCGTCAAAAAAATATGATTATGTGGTACTCTGCAAACTTAAGAGCTTTGTTAGACTGTTTTTCTGCTAAATTGTTATCAACAGCACACCTTCTGATATTAAGAGTTCTGTTTGTCTCTGAAGTATCTATTACCAAAGAAGGCAGGGATTCAAGATAGGAGAAATGGAAACTGTAAAAATGACAGCATTTCAGAATAAAACTATTCTCTCTGTAGCAGCAGAAGGTAGCGGGGGGAAAAGAGATGCTACTTTTTAGGAAGCGAGATGGGGTGAGGAGTGAGGAAGGGGGAGAGAGACACTCTGTAAAGTGTTTTCCATTAATGTGTTCCCAGGGATATTGAGAACTTTCTGAAGATTGTGTGTCATTGCGTTGTGTAGATATTTGAAAATAGTTCATACACCTTAGATTAAAATTAGTAAAACAAAATAGATCCAGGAGTAGTAGATAGGAAAACCAGAACTGGTAGTAGATTTAAATGCCATCTTGCTTTTTCTTGGACAGGGCTGGTGTGGATGGAAGGGCCCCGAGTTTTGGAACAAGGATGCCTATTACAATCTGTGCCTACCTCAACGACCAAAAGCTATATAAATTCCACTCTTATGCTGGAACATGCTAAGCCAGAATACTGGCTGATCTAGATATAACCGTCTTGTTATTTATCAAAATAATGCTTTAAGTCAATCAAAACCCAGTTGGAATAGAAATGTTGCTTGAGTAATTTAAGATTATTTTTTTTTAATGAAACCTCTAAAAATGAGAGTTGTCTGCTGTGAACTGTATTTCTTACAAATGCATTTATTGGGTAACTAATACTGTCTTCTTTTGGCTAGGACAACTTTGTTTATATAGCATTTTTGTTATGCCAAAATCTTTACAGATTAAATGCCCAATCCTTTCATTTTATGAACTTCTTTCTTGCCAAAAAGACCCTTTCAGGTTCTCTATAGCCAGCTGTCCTGTGCACTGTGAATCTGTTCAAAGCCATCATTTGCTTCTGATACTGTTGATAACAGCATTTTAGAAGACTGGGAGAAAAATGGCCGTATGTAGTGAATTTTATGAACTTTGTACTCATATTTACACAGGAAAAAAAAGGTGAGAGAATGAACCGGTATATGCTTATTTATTTATAGCTGTATGAATACAACTATTCTAGAAAAAGAAAAAAAAAAACCCACAACAGTCTTCTGTAAGAAGTAAAAATCAAGACGCTTTACTCCTTCTCAGAAGGAGACAACGTACCAGTGTACACATCAGGCTGCTCAATGCATAGTCCAGTCCCGTTTCTTCAGACTTCCCTTGATTTCATTTTAGGATTACAAGCTGTTTCTTTTGTCAGCTAGGAGACAAGATCTGTCATATGAACAAACAAGAGTAAGTCTGTAGCTACTCTGTCAGTACTTCAGTAAAACTACCTATGACTTCCCCACCCCCCCCATGTTAAAGTAGCCTTTTCAGTGACATTCCCCATGCATGATCCATTTTCAGTAAGACAATAACCTTAAATACCTATGCAAGTTGATCCTTACTAGCAGGCTTCTACATCCAACTGCTATGTATCTAACACCAAATGTATTTACTCATGTGTTAAAACCATTAAAAAAGGTAATTCTGAATTATAGTAAACCAACAGTATTACACACCATCTGATCGTCTCCTCTTCCTGCTTATGGATCTGCTGGTTTCACTGTCTTGGTTCCGTGCTGCTGGATCCCCTCTCAGCGAGCCACGTTTGTCGCTTAGCGAGTAGCCAGACTGTCCTCTCGGTTTCATTGTCTGAGTGTGATGAATTGTTGTGAGGAACTTGGCACATTCCAGAAAGCCGTAAGCCAGTGCAAGATCTGCTGCTGTTTGTCCACTGTTGTTGCACAAGCTGAAACACAGAATTAACAGTAAACATTCAATTAAATTGAAATATATATTACAAGCAAGCATGACGAAGATCAATGAAGTGGTAACTTCAGACAGAGGTATAAAATAAGTACAGAGAATCAACACCAAGAAGGCTTGTCAAGGATAGCGTGGGGCTCTGCTCACACAGACAGCTAGTATTAAATGCAACAATAATGAATTTAAAATAAATTTGTCATCAGTCTATGACTGGCTTGGCTTAATGGAAAAGCAAGAGGAAGGCGAGCACAGCATTGGTCAGAATGGAAAACTAGCAAGGAGAATTTATGATCAGGAATATTCTGCAAGTTACTGTAGAAGTCTGTAACGTGGAACTAAACAACAGCGTATGGTCTGTGCTACTTTGGTGTTCATGTCTAGGGCAGTTTTTAATACTGCTCTTAAGACCACTGTCATGCTGTATTTACTGTCTGAGCATGCACACTCTGAACAAGAAAAAATACTGTGTACAACACCTGTATCCTTTCACACTTACTGAAATGACTAAATGTAGTTCAACTTACTCAATTTTGGCGTCGCCAGCAACAAGGAGAGCAAGACATTCCAAACTCCCAGCTTTTGCTGCCTTATGAATCGGGGCTTCTCCAAGGCAATCCTAAAAATGCAATTTATATATAGCGGTCATGCGAAGGAAGGGGAATAGGATGAAGCTATCTCGTTCTCCAGCATGACTGTTTATGGGGTGTTACTCTGTATACCAGTCTGCTGCAAGTTGTGAGAGATTAAAGGCATGTAGCTAGTAAAGTTCTCAGTAACTGCCATTAAATGTTAGCAGACTCACCACAGCAAAGCAGAAATACTGCCCCATGCAATATTCATTGTTTAACCTTTAACTTCTAAAAGATTATTTACCCAGAATACACTCTGTACACTGATTAACAGCATCTTTCAGCACCACTGAGCTGCTACCAGCTCAGAGGTGTAAGCAAATTAAACTTTGCAGGTAGAGGAAGAATCCTTATGTTTACTAGAAGTAGTAGCAAAACTTCAGAGGAAAAAGGAATACTCATTTGTGTCAAAGAATTAAGTCCTTCTGACATCTGCATGCAGCACTATAAGTGTGAAAATTGCCTTATACATAGCAAATGAAATTGCTAATCCAAAACAGAATCTGGTTCATGCTAGAATAAAGTTACTCCAAAATAAGCAAACCCTCATGCAATACAACTGTGTATACAAAACCCTTCCTAGATAAAAAACAGAACATAAATAATATAATTAGGATTTACTGACAAGCCAAATTAGAAGGAGAAACAAAACTTCTGTATTTTTACCTGCTGGTTCAAATTTGCTCCTGTCTGCAGCTGCCAAAGTAAGAAAAAAGCTTCACCGCCACAAGCAGCCAAGTGGGCTGGAGACTGACCAAAGGCATCCGCAGGTGCGTTCACACCGGTTCCTGCCTCAAACAGATTGCTGAAACTGCCGGCCTAAAATAAAGAAGATATCGGAAACAAAACAAAACAAAAACCTCAACAATGTTATTGCGAGCCAAAGCCGCGGCAAGCCTAAGAACACTGCAGCGTAGCAGGAAACATCCCCCTCGCAAATAATCGGACCTTGATGTTCCTTGAGACTGTCTTTAAAAAAAAAAAAAAAAAAAAAAAAGCAATCCAAGCATGACTTTTTTGGCTTTTAATCTCTTAACCAGAAACGCTGATGGACATCGGCAGTGCCCCAACATATCCAGCAGCCGCTCCAAGCAAACCACACTTGCCACCGTCCCGTAGCTGGCCTCCCGGCACGGCACAACCAGCAAACCGACCTTGCCCCCCCTGCCCCAACGCCTCACCTCTGGGCTGCAACCCAGCACCAGCATTGCCTCCCTGGTGCTGCGCTCGCCAAGCTCCGGGGCGCCCGGGCAAGCGGCCCCGGCCCCGGCCCCGGCCCCGTCCCCGCCCGCCGCGCCTCACAAGCTGCCGCCGCCGGCCCGCGGCACGTACGCAAACAGGCCCCCATGGGCGGGAATCCGCCCGGCGCGCCCTGATTGGTCTCCCCGGGGGCTCCGCGGGGCCCTCGCCCCGCCCCGCCCCGCCCGCGCCCGGCGGCGCCCTGAGGGGGAAGTAGGAGGGGCGGCCATGGCGCGCGGGGCGGCCCGGCACGTCCGTCACAGCGCGGCCGCAGAGAGGGGCACGGCGGGAGCGGCGGCGGGGCCCCGCCCCGGGGAGCGCAACCGCCGTGCCCTGGGATGGCGCCGCTTGAGACTCGTCCCGTCGCCGTCACCACGGGGCGCCGGGGCTCGGGACTTCCCCAGCGGTGCCGCCAGCGTGCCTTAGCGCTGCCGCATCGAGGCAGGCTTGGATCTGGCCAGGAAGGAAACAGAGGATTAACTTGGATTTTTTTTCCCCTCAAAAAGTTCAGGCCGACATGAATAAATAAATCCCTGCGCTGCCCTGGGGGCTCTGCCGCCGGGCGAAGGAGGCTGCCCCGGCACGACGGCCGCGGCTGCGGGTGGAACCTGGGGCTCCCGCTTAGCGTGCAGCTTGCAGCAAGTCCACCAACAGTCTGAGGGAATTAGTGAGTGTGGAGGTCGGGACAGCCACCTATTACATCTCCGTTCAAAAAAAAAAAAAAAACACAACCCAAAACAAAACAAAACAAAAATGTGCAGAAACTGAATTTTCATTTTCACTTCCTTGAGCACTTGATATCCCAGAGAGGGTCATGCCAAGATCACAAACAAAACTTCCACCTGTAGACCTGTCTGCTGGAAACTAGAACCAGCCACACTCAAAGGCAGTTGCCATCAGAATGAATTGTTTGAAATCTATTTTGAAGATGGGGACAGCGACGTTTCATGCTGACACCAGCTTTCCTGCCACGGAGCTTTTGTGCCCAGCGCCCATGCCTGCTGGGGAGGGCAGGGGTGGAAGAGCCAAATGGCCAAATGCCCACACACAGAGAAACCACCATCCCCATCACTGACTGCTTGTGCTTGCAGTTTTCAAAAACAACTGCATAACTTTGTTTTGCATGGACACAGTCTTTACTCAGATTATGTTTCAAAACAACTGCCTGTCATTTCCATGCTATAAGATCCAATTTGACAGAGTGTTCAATCACCACTAATTATGCTTCACAATTGAAAGCCTGAAGAGAATTGAAGAGCATCTTACCCCAGTGTTCAAAGTATACAATTCTGTTTCATTAGCACTATAGTATTTCCTTCTGTGTCAAGTGCCTACATGTTTGTTATGGAAGTTACTCATAATCGGTTCTGTCATTTAAAAAAAAAAAAAAAAAGGAGAAATCAATCAGAGGTCATGTGTTTAAAAAAGTAAAAATGCATAGTTGGAGAGAAAGAGTTGGGGGAAACGAAACCGAACACTGTTCCTTTAGGGTATATAAGTAGTCCTGAAATATATGCAGAAACATTATGACAATTACCTCCTGCTTCTCCTTTGGGAAAACAAATATAAATTATTTAAGTAGTGGAATATGAACATATACAGTATCATTTTTAAAGGTGCAGAAACCCGGTAAATAGGCACTGTATCAATTCAGCAGTTTTTTTCAGTAAGTGACAGTTTTCACCTCTCCTTCCATATGGAAAGAAATACACCTGTGTAATTACCAAATGTTTTTTTTCCTGAACAGCTAGCCAAGCAAATTAGCTAATAAACAAATAAAATCCCTACACTTCTACCTATGCAGTTAGGGATGAAAACCTCTGCATAGATGCCAGAAATCAAGTCACTGTTTATGCAACTATAAAGACTCCTCTGAAAACACACATACCCAGAAGTAGTTTAAGATGAAATAGTCCTGGATCACCCAAGACGGATTTTTTAAAGACCTTCCCTCTCCTACCTTACCCCAGCAATTCATAGGCTTCAAGCTGCACCCAAGGAATCCCATCTTTCCAGCCTAACCACCTATACAAACTCCTGCATCCTGCCAGTCCCAACACTCTTCAAATTCTTGCTATTAATTAGTTCTTGAGCTCTGTGTCACATTTTGCTCACCTCATTAGTGCCTGCAAAACTCTTCTGCCTCTGAATAAATGATACTTGTATTAGTCGTAAACACAGATGCCATGATCTTGATCTATTTTGTATGGCCCACCCCAAGTGTCACTTAAGGACAAGGCTTTCCAGCTACAGCCGTTTTGGAACGTAACTCGCTAAAAATTCCTCTGTGCTTCGTACCTCAGACCATACATCTTGCATAGGTATCACGAAGATGAAATTGGAAAAACCGGTTCTAATAAATACATGTAAGCAATCAGATCAACAAAGGTGTGCTGCTGAATCTCACAGCCTTCAGCGTCAAAAGCAGCAACACAGCCCATTGTTAATTGCCTTTGCTGAAGGGTATTATTGCTGTCACAGACTCTGCCTGTTGCATCAAGTAATTTGTTGATGCTTTAGAAAAAGTTTATTTTCCTGTAGACTTCTTGGGCTATATCATCTACACAAAACAAATCAGGATGAGTTTTGGGAGGTTTTTGGCACTGAAGAGTCAGTTGGGACTTTTGGAAAACATCATGCGGACCCACAGGTTTAACCACACGAATCTGCAAGCCTTACTTTCAGTTCTGACTGTTGTGTCTGCTCCTGTTGCTATAGAAACAGACTGCACTGCCAAAAATGGAAGGATGACAATCATCTGGACAAAAAAAAAAAAGGAGAAAAAGAGAAAGAAAGATGGGAAAGCAGCTAAAGATTATTTTAAAAGCACTCTCACAGCATTTTGGTATTGTATCCCTTTTTATAAGAGAGACAGCTAGAAGCTATCAACAGAAGTAGAAACCATGTCTTACATTTCAGGAGACATCAACTTCCAACAGCACTTCCCCTCAATTATCCTTCTAAGTTTTGTAGTATCTATGTGGGGAAAACAACCTACATTACAACAAACAGTTTCTGATCACTGGAACCAACGAAGTCCCATTTGCTAGACTGAAGTTTCATGGTTTAGCTGAATTGCATTCAGAGTTTCTGTTATTTTTGCCCATAATCTCTTTCTGCGGAATATTTTGGGGTTTTGTGTTTAACTTGCCAGAAGACCGGCAGGCAGCGGGCAAGATCCGGTGGATGCCCAAACCGCTGCCTGTCCTATCCTGCCACGTATTTTCGCACTGTTGGGCACTGGCCACCCGCTAGACATGTTATTTCCACAGGCCCCTGGCCTCCATGACACCGTCACTCTCCTTTCTCTCAGAAAACGGGAAATACCAACGCTGCCCCTCCCTGTCTTCCTCCTCCTGCCCTGACGAAGGCCGCGGGTGCCCAAGGCCCGGCTGTGGAGCGGCCCTGGCTGGGCTGCGCGGGGCTCTGGGACAGCGAGCGGGACAACCGCCGCCCGCCAACCGCTCCCCCCCCCCGCCGCCACCTCACACAAAGGGGCGGCTGCGGAGCTCCCAAGTCCCCATCTCCCGTCAGGGCCGGCCCGGTTCCCGCCGCCGGGCAGGCTCGGCCCCCGGCCCCACCGGGAGCTGCTCACCGCCCAGCCGCCATGAGGCTGCACCCGGAGCGCCTGCCCCGGGCCTGCGGCGCCCAGCCCGCCCCTCCGGGGCCTGGTAGGCAGCTGCCCCCCGCCCCTCAGCCGCGGCCTCGCTGCTTCCTGGCTGGCGCGGGAAGGCCTTTTGGGACGCCGAGCCCCTCCTTTTCTTCGGGTCGGCTCTTCGGCTCTTCCATGGTGAATGTAACATTCACAAGGGCCGGGCTGTCTTCTCTGAACTTTTCCTTCTTATCTTTCACCTTAGATTTTAAAAAATGTCATGAAAAGGGGACACTGCCAGCTTTAGTGTGCCTATTGATGCTGTCCCGTCTGTTTGGGGAAAAAAAAAAACCAAATGCGTGTCTATTTTTAAGCAGAGAACTGCAGCCGTGCTGCTTTATTTGTGAAAGCAGAGGAGCTGTTGGCAGAGAGAACGGCAGGTGGAGATCCTCTGGCACATTTTCTGAAAGGACAACTGTACTTCGAAGAGGTTGTGGTTTCCTTCTTTTAAGTAAATGTTATCAAGCTGAAAACCTTCAATATGATTTCAGTGGGAAAAAGAGACACCTTAAAAAAACTACAAGAGATGGTTTCAGAGTTAATGTTTGTATACCACTACTTGTATTTAGGGGTTTTTAAATGTATATAGAAACAATGGAAGTTTTTTTATAAGTCCTAAGTGTTTTCCACCCTATCCAACTTTCTTGTGGTTGCTAGTGGACTTTACTTCCATTTTCTGTCACTTCTATGGTTGCAATTTTTTGTTCTTTGTTCATGACGAAAATGCTCCAGGTTGAAAAACTGTAGAGTAAGAGAGTATATACTGGAGAGTTAAGCTGCCATACATATACTTTGTTCTGCGTACTCCATTGTTTGTTCTGTCTTTCCCAGGGGTTGTATGAAGAAGCATTAATACAATTTGAAAAAATCAAGGATACAGATTTTCAAGCAATGTATCAGCTTGGTGTAATGCATTATGATGGACTAGGCACTAAAGAAGACCCTGTGAGTCATCTAGCAGTACATTTTTTACTTTTAATATTAGCTGATAATTACTAAAAGCTTCTTTGTAAGCTTGATTCTTCAGTTTAAAATTAACAGGTCTTTGATTTAGAATTAATTTTAAAAAGAACAAAAGTTTACAAGGTATCATTAAAGAGAGGGTTCTGGGCTGAAGAAGATCTCAAAAATAGCTATAACAAAACAGGTTTATATGAAAAATAACTTGTATTTTAAAATATAACTTCTAAGGGCTTGGTTGTACTTTGTGGGGAAGCTATGTTTACAAATTGCTATCAGTACAATGGAAATTAAACAATTATAATTCAAAGTGTAAAACATCTGGCACACAAAGATGTTTTTAAGGTACTTTCTATTCTCTTAACACGGATGCTAAAGAAGATTGTGCTTCTGCCAGTGGTTGGCAGTAATATTTTTTAATTAGATAAATGAAGAATTAATCTGCAAGAATTTGAAGAATTCAAATTGAAGAATTACATTAAAAAAAAAAAAAGAATTGCTACAATAAGAAGAGAGTTAATTTATTGGAGAATATGATCTTAAAAGAGTGGTAAGAGGAAAGAATACAAAGAGGATGAAAGAAAGGGTAGAAAACAAGAAAGGTGGGCATGAAAATTAACCAAATGGTGTATTAACAGATCAGACTTGTCTGGTGCTTAGAGGATTGTCAGCAGAGCAGAAAATACTCTGTTGGGTTTTAGGGGTGGTTCCTTTGTTCTCTATGCTGTATGTCTGTATAATTACCGCATTGGTTTACTTGCACATAAACATTTTAGCAAAGTTTCTTTTTTGTGTATTACAACATAAGAGGTGAATAAAAGAGGAACCTTTTATAAAGGTCTATTTCTAGTATATTAAAACAAGGTGTCCATGCTAAATCTTAACAGTGGAAATCTTGTTTCCAAAATACTTACAGGGTCCTTGGATGATACACCATACAACTGCTCATATGCCATGTTCTCCATCTGCTTATTTAACGTGATCATTTTTTTGTCCATTATGAATCTGAAGTATTTTTAACGGAGGAACTTCCGAGTGTACTGTTGTATCACTTTGCTCTCTGTTACGGTTGGTTTAGGATTTCAAATACATCACGCAATATCAAAAAGTTAACAGAAGTCTAAAATTGAAAATGTAGCGAGTTTAGGATGTGACATATTTATGTAAGCACAAGAACATTTTTGAGAAAATGTTTATCAATAGAGAAGAGCAACATAATATCAGATGAACATTTATAAGGAAATGGTTCACATTAATATGCTGGAGTAGAAAATCAAGGGGCTGCTTAGTCACCAAAGGTCAGTCCTACCAGTGTGCCTCAGCCTTCCTTGAAAGTAGAAAAAGTACCTGTCTCACAGAAGTTAGTGGATTCCAAGGCTCTTTATTTCATCCTCTTTCCAGTCTGAATGTAATAATGAAAATATCTCAATTTTAGGAAAAAGGAGTGGAATACATGAAGAAAATACTCGACTCTGATTCCCCCAAAGCAAGACACTTGAAATTTGCAGCTGCATACAATCTTGGCAGAGCATATTATGAAGGATGTGGTGTTAAGCAGTCAACTAATGAGGCTGAAAGGTAATGGCAGTCAGTAATTTTCCTGATGAGTATAAGATGCTAAGATGCTCTGTTACTTAAACTTTCTTTGTCGCCATTTTCTTAGGTTGTGGCTTATTGCTGCAGACCATGGGAACCCAAAAGCAAGCGTGAAGGCCCAGAGTACTTTAGGAATGCTTTATTCTGTGTCAGTTCCAAAAGACCTGAAGAAGGTAAAGCCCACTTGTACTTTTTGAGTGTCATGAGTCCCAATTAATTTTGAATTTCACAGAAAGAGTACAGTGATCTATTTGACTCTGAAAGCTGTGTTTCAAGTACTGCTAGGCATTATCATTCATTTAAGCCTGTATGAACAGATGGCCAGAATCCCTCATTTTGACTGACTTGACACTGCTAGCTGAGATTATGTTTTGTTTGTTTGTTTGTTTGTTTTTTTAATGGGGAGTATCAGGAAGAAGGATATAATGGATTCAAGTTTTGTTAGTCTTGGTACCCTTCAGAAATGAAGCAGGTGCCACTGACTGACAGCTCTGACAGTAAATGAAGCAGGTTTAAAAGCCTTACAAGGATTTTGCTTTATCTTACATACAAGCACTTCTTCCAGGCTCGTTAATGTAAAAGCTTTTATGGGAACAGTATGCAAGAAAAGCAGCTAAAGTGAATATATACTCCAACTTTGTGCCTCTTGTTTAGGCCTTTTTCTGGCATTCAGAAGCATGTGGCAATGGAAATCTGGAATCACAGGGTGCCCTTGGTGTTATGTACCTTTATGGACAAGGTCTACGTCAAAACACTAAGGCTGCTTTGGAGTGTTTGAGAGAAGCAGCAGAACGTGGAAACATCTATGCTCAAGGCCATCTTGTGGAATATTATTACAATAGAAAATTTTATTCAACAGCTGCTGCAGTAGCCAAAAGGTAAAGTTAGTTTCACTTTATTTTTTAATATAGTTCTTCATGTAAGATCATGGAACTCAGATTAAAATGATTAAGTTCATGCTCTTGTCTCTCAAACTCAAGAAAAGTCTGAGATGATGAATTGCAAGACCTCACCTTTAAAGAGGGAATAAAGTATTAATTTTGTCTGTGGTTTGCTACAGTTCTCAGTTATTCAGTACAGTTGAACTTTACTTTCTGATCCTGTGAAGCAAAACAGCCTTGAACTAGAATACTAAGTAGAAGCCCACACTCAGCTCTACCTTCCTGTCTCTTCACTCCACTACCTGCTCTGCGCTCCTGCCTTCATCATTTCCTTTTGAACCCCTGTAAGTATTCGGCTCTCCACATTCCCCATCTTAACGTCATTTCTACCCCCTCTCTTCCACCCCATCCTTTCCTCATGCTGTGGCTCAACCTGCCTTGGTCGGTTCCTGTGTCCTTCACAGGAAATGCAAGCATTGATACTGGGTGGGATCCTGCAGTAAAGCAGCACAGCCTGGCACCTACATGTGGCTGTTGCACACAGTGCCAAGTTATCACCCTTCAGCTTTTCACCGGTTGCTGCTTGTGGAGAAGCATGCCACATAGGAATTTTTAAGCCTGGACCACAAAATAAGCATCTGCAGGCAAGTGGTTTCTGGCCATTAGCTGCTTGTGTAGAGGTACTGGGCTGAGCTGCAGCCTGGCAGCACGGCCCAGCCTTTCCAGGGGGAGGAGAGGAAAGCAAAAAAAAAAAAAAATTAGAAAACCAGTTCTGTTGCTGACAAACAGCACGTTTCTGTGACAAACCTCCAGAGTGGGCCAGTATATGTTAAAAGTTCAATCCGTCAATCAGATTATTTATTTGCTGGAAATAAGATGCAGATAGACTACTTAGACAAGCTGCACACAACGGCACTCGTGCTTTTTGTGGTATGTTTATGAAGCTGTGGCTGCCCAGCAATAAACGTGTCACAACTTTCCATCTTACAGAAGCTGTGCCCTGTGCATGGCACTGCACAGCAGCAGCTCTGGAAATCCAGTAATTCAGCACTGACTGCTGTTTGCTATACTTGTTGCTGAAAAGGATGGTTTTCTCTCTGAACTGCTGCTTTTCTTTCTCTTGCACTGAAAGTAGACTGATAGCTATTCAGTCTAGTCTAGCTTATGTCACTTGGAGTGCATCCCCTCCAGGCAATGCTGCACAGTAAATATTCGGACAAGTAAACAGTGCACTTCATCAGCTGCAATTGTGACTGCAGAAAATAGCAATGAAATCCCATACTACAACCAGAAATTACTATTTCTGAACCAAAAGCTACTGCCACCCTACTCAAAACAGTTCCACTTAATCGGGATTGCAGCTGGCCTTGCAGCAAAAATCTCATAGCAGTTCAACCCAGTTGTATCAAGCATCAATACTGTCTCTGCTAAAATTTGTCCTTCTATGTCCTTACCAACTACATGGTTACATTATGTACAAAAATACAAACATTACGTGATTATGTACAGTATAACCAAATATAACTCCAAATATAACAGTGTATTTGGAGTCTAGATTAGCCATTGATACTTTACTTCAATTACTAATTTTGTTATCCCATACAGTTCTACTTACCCATTGCTATGGTATGTTCTTGAGGCAACTGTGCTGAACTAAAATTTTTACCTGACTTGTCTGGGTACTGTTATTAGAATCAGCATCCTGTTGTGCATCTTTTGGAAAGGAAGGCAAAAATGCCACATATCAGGAGAGACGAAAGAGACAATAGGTTACTGCTGTATTTGAATGTTCTTGCTAATAAGATTTTGTGGTGGTGTGTGTGTTTTGGTTTTTGTTTTTTGTTTGTTTGTTTGTTTTTCTGTTGCATTACTGTATTTGTTAATAGGACCAAATTAGGTAGGACAACATTGCTCTCAACACATCCAAGTGATTTAGCAGGCACTGACTTGCAGAGGGCTAGTTGAGAATAATCTTCCATAAACACCAATTTAGAGGGAGTAGCTATAAAGTGAAATGATTTGCACTTTTTTCTGTCAAGTCTGTGACTATGTGACACAACAGAAAACTAAAAAAATGGGTGAAACAGCATATAATTACTGTTTGGTATCTGGAAAGGATATGGGGCTTGGGGGTTTCTGTTTTTTAAGATAACAGTTAGAAAAAAATCAATTCTCACTTAGAAAATGTTGTACCTAATACTATAGTAACAATACTAGGTAATTATAACCTGATAGTTAAAACAATGTTCACTTTGTCCCTCTGATTCTTAATATGGTTCTTAGTAAAAACAATATGTTGAAAATAAGGTGATAGCAAGCAGATAGATGCATGCAGAAGAAAATAATTGAGCTAAAACAGTCAAAAGTGGTTGTCATAGGTGGGTCTTATAACCTGGGGCTCTCAAGTATGTCCAGGACCTTCAGATTACTGTGATTTGCCAATAACCTAGTAAGACCTTGTAATTTCAGAATCATGGAATGATTTAGGTTGGGCCTTTAAAAGTCATCCAGTTCCAACCCCCCTGCTGTGGGCAGGGACACCTACTACTAGATGAGGTTGCTCTATTACATGAAACAGGAGCTTTGCATTTCCTCCTCATATATATTGATTTCCATTAAATATTTCAATAGGAACAATTCATGTAAAACATGATGCCTTTTACAACTGGTATAACTATAGTGAAAGTGACTGCAAAAGTTACATATTTGTTTGCAATTTAATATCACAATATTCAAGCAAGACTAACTTCAAATCAAATACTGAATGGAAGAATCCTCATCATGCTGCTGAATACACGCGCGTTTCATCTTATTTTAGATAATGATGTAAATGGAAAGGGGGCATTATCAAGTCATATATGGTCAACTGAAATCACTGCTTGAAATCAATAGCATTATCTAATCTAATGCTGTAAATTCCACAACAGGGCTACAGAGAATGATGACATCGATGTGCTAGCAAAGACAACTGATTGTCTTCCCACATACGTAGCCAAGGGGGTCGCTATGGCTGCTTTCTACCTGGCCAGATGCCTCCAGCTTGGCCTAGGTGTACAGCAAGATCAGGCTGCTGCTAAAAAATACTATTCTAAGGTAAGTTGGGAAAGTCTTACAGACTAATTTAGATCTAATGAAATTGAGTGGTGCCTTGGATTTGAGTCTTTAAACTTGCTGTTTGGTTAAAAACTTCAACATTATTTATGTGGAAAAAAAAAATCTGTGCAAGAAAATGAAGAGTGATAAAGGTATATTGAAAACTACTAAAAATAGTCTTGACATTATCTGCCCACTTGCTTAAGCAAATAATGCATTCTGTCAAACAAAAAATAATCTGTGATAATCACCACAGCAGAGAGCTTGGTAACCTGCAAGAAAAATTAGCTAAACAATTAGAATGATTTTATCCCCAACTGATTTACTGTCTGTCATTCTCTCAAACTGAAAAACTGTAACTTTTCCTCCACTTTAGATTCTCTAACAGTTACAACCTTCATTAAAAACACTTAAATCAGTCATAACTGGTTGTCATGCTTATTTTTACATTCACATTTTTAGAGTTAGCTGAGTATCTACTGTTACTGATACACAGGGGAAAATAGGTCACATTTTTTGAAAGTTCTGAAGTTGAAGTAAGATTTACTGCCTGAGGAAAAAAAATCAGTAATGTCTTCTAGAAGATAAATCTGCTAAATAATATCAGTGATGTCCAAAAATATAATCAAGGCAAGATGATTATGCCAACCAAAGGGAGTGTAGCAAGACTGGGTCTGTGCTTCAGAGAGACTACGATTCCTGTGCATGTAGAGACCATTTGTTTCTGCAAGTAGAATACTTTGATGTCCAGCCTGGTGCAATTCAAATAAATGGAAAGTTACGTAAATGATAAATTATCATATAACCATTTTTGTGGCTCCTTACTCAGGGAAACCACTGATACAACAGGCCTAGCAGATCCTCTGAATACGTACATTTTAAACATTTTGCTCTCCTGCTGCGAAAAGTGTTATAGAGGGGAGGAGGAGATTGGGAGAGGAATGTAAGATGGGGTGTTATGACACTGTAGCCAGTAGTCCTAGGTAAGTCTTAAGGCATGGCAGAGGCCCATCAGGATTAAACTGCTGCATGGCTTTGTGTGAGCATAGCCCTTCCCACTGTCTTCCATCAGGTCCAGTGTAACCACCACAATTGAAAGAAAATTACAACTTTCACTCATCATGTACTAGCTGTACATCCGAGACTGATCTAGGAATATCACTACCTTTTTAGTTTAAAAAGAGATGATCTTTAATGATGGGTGCCATGCCTCTTTACATCAACAATAAAAGAGAAGGAACGGAAAATAAACAAGGAAGCTAACTAAAGCAATAACTTTAGAACAAGTGAAAGACAGGAGTTGTGGGTGTGTTCAGTTTCTTTTGTACCTGAAAAATAACTCTCGTGTTAACTGTACAATTATACCCACTTAAAATTAAAATCATGTTTGCTTTTGTAATTAACTGCTCAGCTGTGGTTTTGGCCTACCATTCTTAGACCCAGTCAGTTTTGAAAGAAGCGAGAAAGAGAAGATGGGTGTCCCAGAGGATACTGAAATAGGTGACTGAAGTAAACAAAACTGATTCTGTCTGTAAGCATATTTATGTTTCTGACTGTGGTGCCAGCACATGCCATACCAACAAACAGAATAAAAAAGTAAAACCAACACTAACACTGTAGTCAAGTACACTCCTTTTAAATACTGAATTTTTCTTCGGTGGCATCAGAAACAGGGATTTAAAACTTACTATATTAACTCTTAACAAGTTGATTATCTCAGATAATGTCAATAAAACTTAAAGACCTTATTAACGTTATATTGACCCTGTACAATTTTATTTTAGCTTTAACTAGAACTCTCTATTCTTCGTTCTCAAAGGCATGCCTTCTGGATCCTGCTGTTGCGTCTGACCTTGAACTGGCAGCTAATCTTGGGAGAATTTAGTGTTTCCTTTAACTGTGACTGGTATATAAACCATCTTTAATCTCCAGTAATTATAGACTGTTCATCACTTACTGCTGCTTTTCAACCTTCTATAAATTATTATTAAAGCAATTTACTGATTCTTTTTTATCTTGGAAAAAGAGAAAGAAGAAAGCTCACATTCTTTCTTTAACTGAGATGAGGCAAAGGCAGACTTTTAAAAATGGTATTTGAAGCCTTAAGGTTTCTTAAGGACATTTTCCTGGGACAGATGTCCTGTGTTTTCTTCATGTCATACTGCTATATAGCACATGAATCAAACCTGAATCTAATTAAAATGGTTGTTTCCTTTCCTGCATTTTTAGTACTTAAACATTAAATTTTAATATTCTGAAAAGCTTGAACCCAAAAACTTGTCTTGTTTTCACATGCAACTCATTCACAGGTCACAACCATTTTTAAACCTTACCTTTCTTAGTGGTGTGTGTACTATCTTTCACATGCTTTCTAATGCATTTAGATCTACTTACAAGTCTTAACGCATTTTACTCTGAGATTGCAGAGATTCAAAGATGGAAATTGGCCTGTATGACACTAAGCTTTACAGTTCAAACCATGTCAACTTCTAAAACTAGAAAATACTACCTACAGAATTATGGAAAAAAAAAAACCAAAACAGTATGAAAACATTCAATAGACATGTCCTCTGCATAAGGCCTGTTCTCCTCAATCCTTTTTCGTATTGCATTTACACTGCCTCGGTTTGTATTAGAAATAGCTGAACACCTTTTGGCTCTGAGTGTGTATGCCTGAGCAATGTTATGCTGAATCTTTTATCAGAAGATACTTTGATTAACCACTAGTAAATTTTACACATTGCTACGGTAAGCTTGCACATTTCTAAATACCTATTTACTTGTATAACTTTGTATGTGCAGAATTTGGCTTGCTTCTTAGGACTGTGCCATGTCTTGAGAACTTTTTAGAAACTCTGGGAACAGAAAGCTAGATGTTACTAAAAACACTGATTTAAATATAGCGCACAGACTTTATGTACCTTACAGTATAGCCAGTCTTAACTGCAAGCAGTTTGTCTAAGAGCACAACTGTACTGAATGTAAAAGAAAGTAATGAGTGTCACCTAGGGATTTTTGATGATGTTTAATTACTTAGATGTGCATTAAGACCATATTTACATATTTTTTACATAAATTAAAAAAACACTGAAGACATTGTTTTCTTTCCTTGTATAAAATAAGGGAAAGATTTGAAGGTTGTTTGAATAAAACAGCCCTGAGTAATATCAGGGAAGTTATTAGAATGGTTTAATTAAATGTCTACTTAATCACTCATAGAAGCAATTCATAAGCACTAATCTCTGAACTAACATTTAGCACAGGCATTCTGGCAGGACGTACCAGTTTACAACACATATTTTCGACACAGACTTCAAAGTAATGTAAATATCCCTTATGAAACTAGTGCTGTCAAACTCATTCGTTATTTGTCAGTACAGCCTCATTAACAAGTACTGCAATCCAGCTGTGTTATTTATTGCTTACAAATGCTTCAAACTACGGGAAGTCTTTGGTAAAAACAAAATTGATAAAATTTTCACAATAGCTTTACATGTAGTATTGCACGACAAGGCTTCTTCAATACACAAGAAAAAAAGGAATGCTCAAATCCTCTGTGAGGAGATTAGAACTGTACAACATTCATTAGTTTACCACTATAAGCAAAATTTCTTTTCATAAATGTTTAAAATATTTTCTGGTTTCTTTCAGCTTATATGAACATTTATTTTTCAGTCTATATTTGAAACAGAAGAGTAGTCAAATAGAACAATTTAAATAAAAATTGGCAACTATACAGCATTGTTTTGTCTACCCTACTACAGCATCAGATCTTTTCAAGTCTGTTTACTTCACAAAAAACTCAAGAGGAAAGAAAAACGCTAAAAATAATCGTAGTCCTCAGCCCTCTATGGAAAAGAGGAAAATAAGTTTCATGTCTATTATTGGACATAGACATTTCTCTAGTGGTCCAATTGTGCAGATTCAAACCTAAGTGGCATTAAGCTGCTCTAAATGAGCTCTTAGCTCAGGACACACTTCAGTTAGCAGCAGTTCCAGCAAAACCTGAAAAAGAGAAAAGAATTAAGATGAGCGCAAGCGCCAAATGAGAATTTCTCTTTCCTTTCTGTCATCTCTAGAGCATCACAGATACGAGAAGCACGTAGGGGTCATTCTGCTCATCATTCATGCAACTGCTTTTCTTTCATCCTGAAGCTAGCAAGCGCCCTACAGATAATATGGGAAATGTCTTGGGGCTGGCAGAAGGCAATCGCCAGGGGCAGCTGCTTTGGGCCGGCCACTTCCCACCCTGTGTGGACCGGCGCTGCCCCGCGGAGGCTGCGGCAGCTCCCTGAGCTGGTGCCAGGGCATCACCTCCCGAGCGGGCTGCGGTGCGCGACTGGCCGCTGCAGGAAACGAGCCAGACCAGAGGGGCCGCGAGTAGAAGTGTTAGACTGGGACCCAGCTGCTGCTAATCCGACCGGTCCCACCCAACAGTGGCAGAGCGGGGCTTCTGGAGGGCTGTCTTGTCCTAACCGTGAGCCAGTCCTGGAGCTCTCCTTCCCTGGGATTCTCCAAGACATGGCCATTTTTCTCAGCTACACAAAGAAATTAGTTCGCACCTTATGAGGTCGGGTAAGTTGGATGTGGCAGAGGATCTCTTTTAGACAAAAGCAGTACTGTTTCCAAACAGCTTTTTGTTATTTAAAATTAGTCAAGTGATAGAACCAAGTGTATTTTTTCTGACTTATTAAAATAACAACAACAAAAAGTTAATTGCACACGGAACAACAGTCCAACAAAAACAACCCCCCCAGGCTTTAATACTGAGTGAGCAGAGCTTGGCAATTAACGGGATTATAAAGTTAAAGGCTACTTTCCCGGTTACTCACATAGAGTAGATGCTTGTTAGCCTTTCTTTCTTGCAAGGCATTGAACACTTTCACTACACCATGGCGGGCGTTTTGTTGTCCAACAAGACTCTGCAGAGTATCTGCAACAAACGTTACTTCAGCTTACACTGTTTCACTCAACCAGGCAAAACCCCCCAGGTAACACTGCTACCCCTGAGGGAGGGAATCCAGAAACACTGCACTTCCTGGCCCTTGGTTACAAGGTAAATAGTTCCCATTCACCAACCTCTGAAAAACACACAGGTAGCTAAGGTCACAGGTTGAAAAGATACCCTTATTCTCACGTTACCCAAGCTAAATAATAATTATAATAATGTATGCATCTCAATAACAATATTTGAAGTGTGATCTACATGATCTACAGTATGCCTTTTAGGTAGTTCACCTCGCAGAATCAAGTATAATCTCACACATTATCAAACCATTCACTTAAACGCACCTTCAGCCACAAAGAACTCCTGTAACAGTTAAAACAGATTTAGCACTTTAATTGCCTCTCATACTTCACAGAAAATGCTTCCCACAAGCAAGCAGATAAGAGAATTCTAAAACAATTATTTACATTTTGGATTAAATTAGAGAATAAATAGCGATCCAATGCCTCATCATTAATTTGAAGTGCATTCAGCTACGCCCTGACATATCTCTCCAAACTCAGAAACAAACAAACCAAACCACAAACCAACTATGGAAGACTTTTCTAGGTAAGCAGGTGAATATATAACAGGGAGAGTAAATGGAGGGCTGTTCACACATCAATTGACGAGTATTTTGCATGCATACCTGCTGCTATTTCTGAAGTAAAAGTTGATTATATGAGGTATCTCAGTGAAGCCATAAAATAGCTCATTAAAGTACATTCTATTCGGATGGAGGGGAGAGAAAAAGCATTCAAGCTATATTTAAGTGCATTTCCAAGGGCAAAATGGAATGATTTCGTTTTCCCCGTAGGTGCCTTGGGGTTTACATAATCTCCGAAGAGTCAGAACTATGTAACTGGACTCCCTGACCTGTGAAGGGATGGGATGGAGCACCTCAGAAGGGTGACCCAGAAACGTGGATGCTGAAGAGGGAGCTGCTTGGGCTTGGGAGGTAAGGGCAGGCAAAGGGAAGTGCTGGAAACCCTGCTCACTCTAGGATGCTTCTGTCCAGGCTGCAGGTCCCTCTAACATTCAGTGCCTGAAACCTCTTATCAACAGCAGACGGCAACACAGAGCGCTGCCAGCATGGGTAGACAACCCTCTCATATTTTGAAATATAAAATGAAGAAGTAATTGGAGTGGTGCCACTCTCCCCTATTTCTCAAGTCGTTCCAGGTAGCAGAACCACCTGGTTTTTGCTCGCAGAAAACCAGCAGAGAGAGTCTTAGACTTCACTTAGGTTCCCTGAATATTACATACAGAAGAGTACAGCGATACTGAATTTTGCATCCACCAGTAATACCTGAATCCATGCCCTTTACCAGACATACAGGAGAGACAAAGAGTAAGGTCAAAATTATCCTCATCTATGCAAATAACCGCAATTTACGGCTCTACAGGAAAAATATAAAATGCAGCAGAACAGTATTTGATTAACCATTTCCCTTATTAGTTATTAAATCTGTGACTAAACAGAATGAAAGTGATCTCACCTGGAATGTTTTCAAGTAGTTTTTGCTGTGCTCTCTGTTTTGTCTCTTGCTTTTGTTCGTCGCTCTTAGCTCTCGGAGGTGCTGCTAACTTTCCATTTGGCCAAAAAGCATCTCGAAACACACCAATGTAGTAAACAAGCATTGGCTCACTGAACATCCAGTGTACAGTGTCACGGATTTGCCTGTAAAGAAGTGCAGAAGGGAGCACACCAGAGCTGGTCTTTCATGTTTTATGCAGATTTATTCTTTTTACTCCTGAAGGCAGTGGAAGTGATGATTGTTTTCATGTAATTATCCCAATTTATTTGAGCCGATTTCACCAGCGTCACAGCAAGTCATATTCAGCTCTGGGTGCTCTATCTAGGATCTAGGTCACTCTAGATACCTGACTGAGGCATGAAACACTTCAACGTAATTCACAGACACAAATAACAAATGCTTCACTGAAATGTGTATATATTTCAAGGATGGGCAGTACAAAGGCTCCACCGGGTAACGACATAAGAACCAGCTAACTAACTGTTGCAAACTCTAAACTAGCTGCATGCACAGATGTGCCTGGTGGGATAAAAACAGAAGATGTTTTGATAAAAGCACAGTAAGTTCCCTCAAAGATACCGACAGCTCATTGGTGAAGGGGTTACAAATGGAGATAGCAGCCTCCTCGTGTGGCTGCAGGTACTCTCCGTAGCCTTCAGCAGAAGGAGTCTGAGGTAGACAGCAGGTTCCAGGCAGTACTGCCAAACTGTGCCGCAGTACAGCCAAAACCCTTAAAATCAATAAATGTAAAAATTCAACCAATGTGTAAAAAGCTATAGAGCAACTTTGCACGCATGCTGTGCTCACACACATACACGCCTCCTCTGTCGTCTCTCAGAAGTCTTTCATGATAGTTCTTAGCAGTGTGTGAGCAAACGAACCCATCAATTTAAAAGCCAGTGAGCGGATACTGCCAGAGACCATCAGTTCACCGGGAGTCAACTGTGTGATTTTTCCATCACTTCTTGTCCAACTGACTGCTACATAACATACGTGAGAGGTTTCAAAAGGCAGCCGCAAATCTAGTCACTGACTGGACGAAGGAACAGCCTGTTCTGCTGGCAGATTTCTGAGCTGTGACACCTGAGTAATAGTCCCACTGCTACACCAAAGCAAAATAATGCATTTCATCAGATTCTCAGCAGCCCTTTGCCTATGTGAACGTGCTACAGAAATCACAGATTCACAGATTTTCGTAAGAAAAACATCAGCATGTGCAAGAGCATCAGTACTGATCAAAGAGTCATGGGAAATGTGTTTGCATCAATCACCTGCTCCATTGAATCAAGTTTTACTGTAGGCCTTTGGATCTGACAAGAAAAGGAATGCTCTTCCAAAATTTTTCTGACTAGTGAAACAGCTTTCCACAGGGAAAGTGTGTACAGACACGCATGCTTACTTCATAGCCTCACCCAGGCCTCAACTGGCAGACACGTCTTCAAATAATACAGAAAAATACCTTTATGAAAACACACCACTGTTACACATGTACAGGTTTCATGTTATAAATTAATGGTTCCCATC